ATATCTCCGAATATATTATCCATGGTCTGCTGAAATATTGCAGATACGGTTTTGAGATCGAAGGGCAGTCTGGTAAATCTGAAATACCCTTTATGTGTAGATATGGTAAATATGTCCCTTGACTTATTGTCTATCGGCAATTGCAGAAATGCTTGCTTGAAATTAATTTTGCTAAACTTCTTCCCTTTTGACAATTTCGCAATCAAATCATTTATCCTCGATGGGATACTTAAAATCTTCGAGCGCCGGATTGAGATTGTCTTTGAAGTCGGCACACAGCCTGAGACATCCGTCATCCTTAAAGACTGTAACGGACTAGCCCAGCGTACATCTTTTGCAGGCTCAATTATTTTATCTTGTAACCACCTATTTAGTTCTTTACCCACTATTTCTATTCTGGAGTACGGTATTCTCCTTGGCGGATTATCTTTGATATGGCATCTTCCTTTAAGCGAAGTCTAATAGTGGTTTTGCAGATAGGTTTATTAGCCGTTTTAATTTTGCAATCACATATGAGTTTGGTAAGTTTATTGTTGTAAAAATCGTCGTCTATGTTTCGTACAAATTTTTTTAAAATGCTTTTGCCAAACTCTGCCAAGCAATGCGAGCTCTCCACAACAAAGGCTTCCAAATTTTTTAAAGCGCCTTGATAATTAACATCAATAGGTGCGATGCCCAGAACTTTTATGGTATTCACGTCATAGCCCGATAATTTAATGTGAGATTTTTTAATGTTTTAATGCCTATTTTGTTAGCTATATAATGCGGTATAATGGAGTATCTTGTACCCGTATCCACCTGCATCGTCGTTACTATGCTGTTGAGTTTGAGTACCACTTCGTAAGCATTTCTCATAGAAACCTTCGCACAAATTATTTAAACTTACGTTTAGTAAGTCATAATCTTTGTTTACGTCATCATCAGTTTTATCATTTTCCAATCCTCCGAAATTAATGGTGTTTATCTTGCTGCCGTCTGTTGTGTAATTTTTACTATTATATCTGTAGGTATTGTAGTTGTTATGTACGCAGTTGTCTCTGTTGTCGAATCTTGGGTTCGACCTGTTATGATGGTTGTTTCGATTGAGGTATGCTGGTCTGTTGTTGTTGTTAAAATTATCATTTCTGTAATAACCGTTTTGATTGTCGCAAGTTTGTCTACGGTTGTTGTTAAAATTACCACTTTTGTAATGATTGTTTTGGTTGTCATAATAATTGTATCGATCATCATGAGTTGTTTGTCTATTGTTGTTGCTGAATTTTCCATCACTATGTTGATTAAAATTACCATAATTTATTTTGTGCCTTTGATGATCATGATAATAAGGTCTGTAATAAGTGTCGAATTTGCTCTGATTGATGCATCTCTAGTTTTGGCAACGTGGTGTGAAGTTGTAGTTTTGGCTATGAAATCTTTGTGTGTCAAAATACGGTCGTAGAGCCCACTGCTGAACATAGTTGTTATCATATGGTATCAATTGTTTGTCGTCTGACGTTTTATTGGTATCTGAGATGCGTTTTATCTCGAGTTCATCTTTTAGTTTGTCCTCCGAATCTAAAGTATCTGGTTTGGTGTTAACTTTATCAAAAGTAATATTAGTATAGATGTCTTCTGCCTCACATCCTATTTTTATAATCTCATCAATTTTATCCAAATCTTTTACTTTATACTTAATATCCTTAGAAGAGGTACAAATTTTAATTTTTTCTATTGCCCTGTCATCTAAATAATTGCACTATTTGTTTAGTTGGCAAATTCTAGTTGCCCATTCAATTTTTCATCTTTCGATTGACTTGCTTTATAAAATTCTAAAATTTTAGTGTTGACGTTTTTTTAGATATAAAATTTTAAGTTTTTTTATTATTGAATCAAAATTATTAAATTCGGTGTCTGAACTTATAGATTGCAATTTTAAGTAAATATTATCGGGAAGATTTTGTGTTAATATGTATGCTTTGTCGTTAATTTTATTTTTATTTAAACATCTTATGATTCTATCAATATAGATGTCTATGTCACCAAGGAACTTAGGAACAGTAGACTCGTCCAAAAAAATTCATTTTTTTAAATATATATATATAGCGCAGACAATTATTATATAAAATCTTATATTATTTGGAAAGTTCGATAATAATTTGATCACTTTTAGTACTAATTTTATCATATATCGCTTCGTTGAGCGCGTTATTTATTTGTTTTATTTCGTATATAAATTTCTCTTAGCTAGAATTAACGGTGTCTTTTTTTAAAACGAGTTCATCGATCTTGAACTTTGAACTCTTATTATTTTTGACCTTTGAAGGTTAAGAAGATATTATTTATATATTTTTCCTATTTTAAAGAAAATAAATTCAAATTCATTGACCTTCTACTTTGAAAAAAAAATATTTATTTTATTTAATTTAATTTTACCTTTTGATAATACTTTATTAAAAAACAAATTTTTCATTTACAAATTATAATTAAAAATATATATTAAAAAACAAATAATATATTAAAAATGAATTAAAAAATATAATTGTATAAAAGAGAAATGAGATAAAAAAAAAATAAAATTTTAAAAAAGTGTACAAAATCACCCTAGAGAAGAGTGAATGCTTAAAAAATTGGGCCGCAGGAAATCTGCTGACGAAAGTAAAATCCTTCATTGTATTTTTTTTTAAAATAAATTCAAGTTCATCGACCTTGTACTTTGAACTGTTTTATTATGATCTTTAAAGGTTAAGAATGTTTATTTCGTTAAATTTTATTTTATTTATTTATTTGTATTATATATTATTTTCTCTTTAACAATGACCTATATGACGATTAAAAAAAAATATCCCGATGGCCATGACATTGCCTTAAATATTAACTAACTTGATAAACCAAATAAATAATTGACTAAAAGGATGATAATAAGAATATCATAAAAATAATAAATATATATTTTACCTTTTTTTTTATAATGAGAATCCAGCATGTTCATTATATATATTTTTTAGATAGGATCTGCAGACTGATTTATTGGATTTTTATGGCTTTTTTACAAAGTTAATTTAGATTTAATATTTTACATATTTCTTTTAATTTATTATTTGGTTCCTAACTATAAGTAGTGTCGGATCCCACCATTGCCACCATGCTAATATGGTGTAGAAATTAAAAAATGTTGATACAAAATTACTTTATAACTGACTATTAACCTAATAAATTCTATATATATACTTTTCAAAAGTAAATAACAATTAATGTATCTATTAGATTAATATTTTATTAAGTGAAAGAAACAATATAACAAGTCCGTAGGTTAATATAAAATAAAACAAATTTCGAATGTATTAACATTTATAAAATGTTGCAGTACCTACAAATTTGCAAAAGGGCTATAAACAAAAACACTACTCCAGCAATTTCATTCTCCATTTAAAAAGTATAAAATAATTATACATATTCTAAATGTATCTATTTTTCCTTTTAATTACTCGCCCATTTATTCTATTAATCAATTGAAATTATGTAGTAAGGAAGGCTTTATGATAAATAAATATGATATATGATCAAAATCTCCAGGCTTACATAATATTATTTTGTCTAAAATCTATCAGGCGATTTTTTAAAATCTACTCAAATGTGGCCGTTTAACAGCATTAGGATAAATGCACTTTGGCCCACGTAAAAAAATGAGATGCTTAATTTGGAAAACTCATAATTCAATCATGCCTTGATTTTATATTTTCTTCGTCTGAAGAAAAAATTAAAGATATGCTTTAAAAAAAACTATCCCAATACATGTGCTCACACTGCTGATTATTTATTGGATTCCCACCAATATAAAGAGAGCATCATACTAGTAGTGAATTTGATGAAGCATGTGTTATGATATAAGAATTAAGCATTTTACAAGGTGATGATAATCTAAATATTTTAAATGATATCATAAATTTAAAAATAAAACGGCGGTATATTTAATAGCAAAATATGTGGAGTAACTTTCACATTTCGGTCTCATGTTGTTGGAATAGATTTCCCACCTTTAACATAAAGAGAAGTGTCAAATATTTTATTAATTCCTGGTTCTACATCTTCCTCGGAAAGAAATCAGTCGGTTTGAGGTAATATTCTTATGAAAAAAAGAAATCGATTGAAAATCTCGACAATAGGAAAATTAGTAATTTCATAACCTAAGATTGATTAAAAATATTAAAGAAAATGATAATATTGAATATGAATCAGAACAAGACTCGGTCACGGAGAACGAAACATTAATATAGAATTATAAAAATATTAAATAGATTAATTTTTTTACTATTAGATATAAAATAAAGTTACTATTATCTTAAAAATATATTTGAATTTGACCAGATATAACTGTATTTTATATGACTAGTCAAATATCGGTCATTTGACCTAATAATATTTGAGGTCAAATGAACAACCCTGAATTCAAGTAATTAACAATAACTTTACTATATTAAAAAAACTATAAGAAATATAACTTAAAATACATATTAAAAATATAAAAAAGGAAGTTAAAAAGAGTCATCTACATCTGACCTTTAAATAATTTAAAATTATAAAGTAAAATTTCTAAGCCGATTTGTTGTTTGGTCAAAAATGCCCTCGAGATTGTTGTTTTATTGCTCTTTTGACTGATTCGTTTGACTAGGAATTCAATCTGTTTTCCAAATGAGCAGTTTTAGATACCAAGATTCAAATTTTAGAATCGAAAAATTTTGTTATTTGTATTCGTAAGATATGAATTGTATTGTATCGAATTATTTGTTCTAGGTACAGTCGGGATATTTTTTAATGCCTGAATAATAAAAACGATTATTTTTTTGTTCCAAAAAGATAGATAAAATTTTTAGACATACTTCTACTTTTAGATAAATCATTAAAGTTTTGGAATTTTGTCAATTTTCACAAAGTCTAGAGCAACATTTGCCAAATTTTATTTATCTTTATTTTTTTATTCATTAAAGTTTTGGAATTTTGTCAATTTCCACAAAATCTAGCACAACATTTGCCAAATTTTATTTATCTTTATTTTGTATTCAAGAAATTCACTAATTATCTTTAGCTTATATATATTTAGGATTATCATTCTATATAAGACAAACAAGGTAAAAAACACATTATCTTATTTTGTAATTCTATTTTGTAAAAAAACACATTATCTTATTTTAACTTTTGTAATTCTCTTTTATTATGATTATTTTCCTTATCTTTGTTCCCTCACAATTAGCTGTATTTCACCTCTATGAGGAAGTTATTTTTCCTCAGTCAATACTGACTGTGGTATCCCAAAAGTGGACACATTTTCTTTTGCTTTACTTATCTCTTAAATTTCTCTTCAATTTTTCTCGACTCTTTAATATTTATCGTCTTTTAACGACCCCCTCAATATTAATTATGTTAGCGCTACTGAAATATAGAGTTCTATAGTTAGAACTACCTTCCAAAGTAGCTTCACTCGTACTTAGCTATTTTCTTAAAAATAGATAGCCCGTTATAACTAGTGTTACTTAAAAAATTATGTCTACATTTTTTTTCTTAAAATAATAAATAATTAAAGTACTGTGCAAATTAAAAGATTTTTATAATAAAATATTAATTACATATCAAGTATTAGCTTAGAGAATATGTCTCTCAAAAAAATTTTTATCTAGTAAAGATCATTTGTTTTTCCCCTAAAAATGTCTCTCAATAGGAGAACTGGATGGAATAAAATATGTATATTAAATCTTTTTTTATTATCATGATTCACAAATAAGATATTTTTATCTCGATTTCAAGTTTTAAATAAATGATGCCTCTTCTTCAGCCTTCTTATTTTTCGGCACTTGTAAAATAACTTTCTCTCTCCACACTTTTTCCACTATTTATCAGACCAAATAAATAATATAATATAAAATGAGATAGAAAATAATATAATATCTAATATCGTGCCAATTTCAAATCAAGAGATATGAAGAAGAGACCAGGGCTCAGCGAGTTTTATAAAAACCAAACATGTTTATAAATTCAAATTTGATTATGTAATGGCCATTGTATAATATGTATATTTGAGGCGAAAAATATTTTATACTCCTCAGCTATTTAAATATTTTATGATAAACTGTGTTTTTAGGATAAATTTTTACACCACTATTTTAGGTGGCATTGGAGAGTTTTAAAAATAATAAAATTGACATTATATGAAATTTAAAACTTTCTTTTCGCATTTCAGAAATTTCCATAATTATATATCACATTTTAATATATTTTTAGAAGTTATTAATTATATTAATAATTAGGGACTAGTAGAATTAGGGCTATCGGATCAATCAAATTATGCTAACAAATATGATGTTATAATATATTTATATAGTAATATAAAATGAGTATTCATTGGCCACTATTTTATATTTAAATGAATTGTCATGTTTATAAGAATTTTTTATGTAAATGGTATATTTATTATTTATATCACTAAAATATTGTCCATGAAAATAATGGAATAATTTAATAAAATAATTGAATCTACAAGCCCCGGGTTTGGAGCTTGTTTGCGCAAAGAAACTTTTACTACAATCAATCTTGAGAAAATATTTATCAATTTATTAGGTTAGTTAGGTGTTTGGGTTATCTTATAGTATTTCGTAAATTTAAAATAATTATTTTCAATGATGATTTTGACAAAAATTGCGCTAACTAGCCCTGGTCTCCATTAATAAATATTACAATAATCTTAAGAAGCATAATCACAAATAAACATGAGTAAGCAAAACGAATAATTAGATTTTGACCTACTATATTACAGTATGGAAAAGTTTTAAAAAGAGGATGCATAAAATTCTTTTAGCATATATATATGACAGTATAAAAGTTTAAAAAAAATAGTATGCTAAAATTATTTTCGCATATATTTTTAATCGTAATATATAATAAATAATCAATAATAGCAGCATTGGATGGGTTATGCTAAATTAAAATGTGTTTAATGCTTCTTTGCAATCGAATTGCTATTCCGTATAAGAAATTTTATCGATAAAGTTTTATCAGTTCGAAAAGCAATATAATCTTCAATTTTTTAATAAGAAAAATTTTAATCTATATTAGTTTATATGATTTTTTAAACTTAGAATATAGGGTTTTTGATCTCCCGTAATTATGGATCAAATTTTTTGCTGGTGATACTAGGTTGGCCAGAATCTCGCCTTACAAAAGTCATCCTCCTCAAAGTAGGGGAACTGGGGTAAAGCGATTGGGGTAACGATGTTAACGAGAATAACTTAACCCTTGAGATTAAAGATTTTAAATTTGGTGTGAATATGTATTTTTATATCTAATTTCTTACCTATGTTCATATTTTGAAAAACTTCCCCGGTTTGTCATATTTTGCTAAAAAATTGTTCTACCTAAATATTATAAAATCATCCTCTAGGCTTTTTGATTTTAGCGAAATATATAAAGACTCCGAATTTATAAATTTGTTTACATGTTCCTTAAAGCCATAGCTATAAATCAAAATATATCGAAAGTTTATAGCTTTAGAAGTCACGCAATAACGATTTACACAATATATTCACCAAGGGTTAAAGTTGCTATGGGTAAAACGGCTAAAATGTCCTGTCTGCTTTAAGCAGTAAGTAGGTCATTTTAAATATTAACGTCTCCTTGTAAAAAGATTCTTTTGTGCAAAAAGGAATATTAATAAAAGGTTTGTGTGCTATTTAGAATAAAATTTTATGAATAGACCAAAAGGGGAAGAAATATAGAAATGTACGATGTGCCTAAAATGTGCACATTAAAAATATGCTATTTTCGATATAATTTTTTACATTCCGGTATTATAATGATGAATAGCTGTCAAAATTGTTATATTTTGTTCAATTAAACAATATATTTAGTTCAATTTTATTTTAACCGCTTTACTCTGGTGTGTAGTCACTTTACCCTGGGTATGGGGTAAAATGGCGAAAATGGCACACTTCACATAATTAATCCCAACTCCAAAAGTATTAAGGTAGAGAGTTACACATCTTTTTATTTTGTAAATGAGAGATTTATCTAATTATATATATAATTTATTGTTAGCGTTTCATAATATTATGGTAAAAATTCAAAATACCAATACCCTGGTCTCCCCTGTATAAAATAAAATCTTTGGGAGTTTAAATTATTGATGAAGCACTAAATATAATGCCACACCATTTTAAAAAAAAGTGCTTAAATTTATTATTGAATTGATAAATAGCTTTTTTTAATCACATAGTGTCTTTTTTCAATCACATAATGTATTTCCCAGTTTAGTTTAAAAAAACCCACTATATGTTTGAAGAAGGACACTATATGACTAAAAAACTATAATTTAATAATTTCAATGCCAAAATACCATAAATGTGTTTACTTTAACAAGACTTTATCTATAATAATCCTTCGACTCATATTGAAAATGTAGTCGTTATTTCAACAATATACTTTTGCGAAACACATGAGATTGGAATAGGGAGGATAAGGTAAAAATAATAATAAGAAGAAATTATATAAAACCTGAAAAAATGAATGAGAATATTAGTAAGAAATGTAATACAAATGAAGGCTAGAATATGATATATTAGATGATATAAGAAGATATTAATATTTGCTTTAATAAGAAGGGCCAAACCCAGGGGTTCAAACCGGAGAAAAAAACCGAGGTTTTTGGGAAAAAAATTTGAACCTGAACTGAACCTGTGAACCCCGTTTAAAAAATTTTCAAAACCCCGAACCGAACCCGGGAATTTTATTTGAACCCGGATTCAACCGGGTTCAGTGTACTGTTTAAATTAATATAAGATATTTATATAATTATAAATACAATTATTAATAATTTACATGACATTTTATAATATTTTCAAATTTCCATTTAAGTTAAGTGTTAATAAATTTTAAACAACTTAATTCATTTATTCCATTTTTAAATTTTTTTAAATTTATTCTCAAAGATTCCTAATGGATTGTTAATAAATTTTAAACAATTAAATTATTCATTTACGCCATTTATTTTTAATTTTTAACTTATTCTCAAAGATTATTAATTAGAGGAAAATGAAAGTGAACAAGTCAAAGTAAAAATTATTATATTGGATATTGTTAATTTATAGAAATACGTCTAAATAAAAATTTTTAAATTTATAACATGACTATGCTTTGTATTTTTAACTATATTTTGCCTATAAATAAAATAAAAAATTAATTCTTTATACCAAATTTATGTCTATTTTTTTTTAATTATGATTTAAATATAGTATATTTTTTTTATCAATTCAAAAATTCTTAAACCCGGAACCAAACCCAGTAAAAAAATATTTCCCTGAACCGAACCCGTACCAAACCGAACCTACATATTTTTTTACCTTAAACCGAACCCGAACCTAAACCGGTCAAAAATTTTGCTGGGTACGCATCCCTGGTTAAACCAGATCTCGCAAATATTTGTATGACAAACACAAAATATGTGTCATGAGCTCATTTGAAAAGTTGGTCATATACCATATAGGCAAGTATTTATTAAGATCAAGGCTATGTTGTCAACGCTTATATTTACAATCAAGGTGTTATACTATAATATATTGTTTTTTTATTTGCAACATTATATCTGCAAGTAAAAAAAATATGGAAATGTTTTCCGTCAAATCTGCAAAACACTATTTATTATTATATTATGTATTTGTATTTTTAATTGTGTATACCATGATATTTTTTGGTAACAGATTAAATCATGGGGAAATTTTCATATATTATTTTTTTTTTATTATTTTTTTTTATTATTTTTTTTAAATTTTTTTTTTTATTTATTTTTTTTAAAATTTTTTATTTATTTTTTTTAGATTGTCTGGATTTTGGTAGAAATTTTTGAATGTTACCTTTTTCTTTCAATTGGCGTATTTTTAGATTTTTTTTTTGATAAATAAATATCGTGTGGATTTTGAAGGAAATTTTTTAATACAATATCAAAGTTTTTTAAATTTAACATTTTACCTCTTTATGGATAACATAAATTTCACCAATATGTGTATTTCTTATACAAGGACCATGGCTTTTTTAAAAGATCATGAGTTTCTTATCAATCACACATGTTGTTAAATTTATATAGAACTATTTTAGTTTTTCCTTAAAAATATATATATCTATATTATCATTGTATATATGTTATGTTTATTCAAATAAATTGATTAATTATTTAGTATACCTATTTTTATTAAATTCTTAAATATACTCTGTTTTTCTAAATTCTTAAATATACTTTTTTTTCTAAATTCTTAAATATACTCTTTTTTTCTAAATTCTTAAATATACTCTTTTTTTCTAAATTCTTAAATATACTCTTTTTTTCTAAATTCTTAAATATACTTAAGATTTTTTTTAAATTTAAAAAAAATAATAAATAAAAAAATATATTTTAAAAAAAATAAATAAAAAAAAATATTAAAAAAAAATAAATAAAAAAAAAATAATATATGAAAATTTCCCCATGATTTAATCTGTTACCGCCATGGTATATATTTTAAAACTAAATATTTTAAATTGCCATTACTAGCTATAATAATTAAAAATAAATTTTTAAAAAATCACGGTTGGGCCGAGTAGAAAATTTTTTTTTAAAAAAAATCCATGCAAGGTCGTGCAAATATACCTCTGCAGGTCTCTGATTCTAGTAATGGCAATTTAAAATATTTAGTTTTAAAATATATGGCCCAGTCCGGGCATATTTTTTTTAAAAAAATTCAGGCTCGACGCGGATATTTTAAAAAATTAAGTAAACATTTAGGTAAGTCCTATTTATTTCTTTTAAAATGCTCTATTGAAATAATGAAATTTAATACCACATTTTCCAAACTTTCTAATTACTTCTATTAGATCAAGGGAGATAAAGCTAACAAATGACGCATTCTCTACGTATCTATATCATAACAATTATTATTATTAGATGAAGAAAATAACAAGACTAGAGAACATCTTATATAAACTTGGCATGTAATTTAAGCACTTGATCAAGGTAAAATGATAAATACTTTCTGACATTAGTAGTCAAAATAATTTTTCTGACCCCTAAGATGATTTTAAATATTTATTGTAAATGAAAGAAAACAAGTCAAAATAAATCACACATAAATTCTTTAACGGTATCGAACATTATAAAAACACCAATATTTCGCTGGAAAAGAAGAATAAGAGCAAACCGAAGTCTATTTATTAGCAAAAATAGCCATGTCTGCCCAACTATGGTGGTTTCGGTCAAAATAGCATTTTCAGCATTGAAATATATTTTATCACCACAGATAACAAGATTGTAAAAAAATATATTAGATGATATTTTTATTATAGGTTGTAATCATAATCGACAATCAAATTTTGGGATACCTTTAAACTTATTCCACGTATTCCTCTATATTTATCACAAAATAAGATTAGAAATATTAGTAGAGTTATATATGGATATCCTGTGTAAAAAATAATCGTCGCTTAACCTTTATTTAAAAGTTTTTGAATATTCCTAAAACTTTAACCGAACCTAAAATATTATAATATTTTCTTTTAGAATCTGAACTGAACCAATATATCAAAAGGTTATTCTCGAACCATCATTTTATCGCACCATTTTAATATGATTTCTGAAGGTCATTAGTATTAATAAATCCCTATTCCATTTACAAATATCTCTATCTACTGACAATTCGTTTTATATTAAAATAATTTAGAATAACACTAACCTGATTGTCATCAAAAACTCTATTAATTGTCGAATGCAATATGCCTATTGAACTTGGAGATCGAATTATTGGATCCTTAATAAGTTTCTCTTCTTTTAGCATGTTCAATATCACGGTTAAGTTGTGTACTGTGTAAGGGCATCTTAACATTGCACCCGATATAACATTGTTTTACCCGGTTAATATTTGAAGTTATTTTTTTCTATACCCCAGTTGGTATATTTTATAGTTCTAAATAATCAAATTATTTATCTAAAATTCTAATTTTGAAAATATATGAGAGACCAGGGTTATATTGTTTACAAAAAAGTTAAGTACTATAAAAAATAGATAAAGAAAATTTTCCAAAATGTTTAAACGTGGTTTTGTTCTTTAAATATATCTCTACGATAGATATTCATATTTAAGAAAAAAATCTTTTAGTTTTTTATAAATATAAAATTTAAAAAAACTGAAAATTTAATAATCATGAAAACACCAGGGGTACCTATTACACTTTCGCATTTAGTGTTATAGCACTTCTTATAAAAATGTTAGTCTTAAATAAATAAATAAAAATAAATTGTCAAATGTCTTCAATTTACCAGTTTCATCTATATTTTATATATATCACCCGAAAGAACATGTTGTCACTTAAAACTGCTTTTTAAAAAATAAGTCAATCCTCTTCTTATTGTCATTCATGACCCTATACATGGCTTCTAATGTTCTTATAAATATAGTTGGATTTTTTTTACACAAAATAATCTCAGCTTAAAATGGCTAATACGCACCCCGCTAAAACCTTTGTAATTACAAGATATTAAATAATAAATATTGTCAATAGTTTATATATGATAAAATCGTGATTATTTTATCACATAGAATTGATATTTAGTCTGAATAACTTTCATAAAAAATTTATTAGTAAAAATAAAATTAAAAAGTTTACTTTTGACATATTAAAATCTAAATTTGCATTTAAAATTTTTCATGAGCAAATTTCTGCAAAACATTTTTACATCTATTAAAGCATCTTATTTAAATAAATTTATGGTTTCAATTTCAAATCAAAGTTTATTAATTTTAAAATTATTTGAGAGGAAATTACCTGTGAGGGATAATACTATCTCCAGTCTCCCCTACCTAGTTTTAATTGCCCTTGAATTTGATATTAATAATTTTCTACAACATTTTTTCTTGTTACAAATCCTTTTTAGGAAGATGTTTTTTATATTGTGATTCTATTTATCTGAGCTGATACTTCTCCATTTGCAAAATTTAAAATTTTTATAATACTTATTTTCAATGTGTTGCTTGGCATTAGAAAAAAGGAAAACAAAATAAAAATATCAATAAGGCAATTATGAAAAATAATAAAAAATAAAACAAATATATAATTTAGAATTATGTAAATTTTGTCCAATAGCACTAAGGACGAATTATGTTCAAATATAATCTAACACTGGCGCTCGTGCGTCTTGCCTTCCCGCCCCAGTGTCTTATGCTCTCTCCAGCCCCTGAATATAGAAGCCGCTGTTATTAAGGCCATTCTTTATATAGTTGAATGAAGAATAAGAAAATTATCATTAAATACAATTTACTTTTTAGGAAACCTAGTATTATTACCCTAATAAGACATTATATTAATAATCCAATATCTATTTAAAATCTAAATATTCACTTACCTCCTTAAAATACTGAGATTATGGTATCGAACCCTCTCCCACTATACAGGATCCGCTGTTGAAAGTTTAAAAATTATCACTGGCCTTCTAAGGTTAGGGCTTAATGTGTACGAGCCATCGAACATATGGGCCTTTTAATCTTAAATTTCATATTATTTGCTAAAATTAATTGAAACGATTAAATACTCATACGCTGCAATTATCTCTAGTCTAAGCCGGTCAACAACCTGATTATTGCATTGAACTTAAATTCTAGGTTATTTTTAATCCTTACCAGGTCAATTGACCATATGCTATCAAAAATCCGCATACGTGATATTTTAAATCATAGGATAAGAGATATCCACTTTAAGCGCCGCTGATCTGGACAGGCTGATACCTTAAAATCGAAATCCGACCTACAAATCTTTCAAATAAAGGTTTATTTTAAAAGTAGCTTGTTTATATTAGTATTATAAAATTTTACACAAAAATATTATACTGTTTAACATTGAACGAAAAATGTGATAAACATGAAATATTTTGATTTAAAAAAAAGGGATTCAAGGTTTCATATTTTTATTTAGACAACTTTTTTCTTTCAAAATTGTTGCGTGTCGACCCCTGAGGTGCATATATATATTTAATTATGTCAACAAGTTTTTTTTAATTTATCAAATTTATGATTTTATATATTTTTATAAAAATGAAATAAAATGTGGAATTACCAAGCATTTTTAAAATTAATTTTCTTACATTAAAATAAATCTGTATAATTTTTTTTTTGTGAAATTTACATTATTCTCATAAATTCTTATAATAAGTAATTAAATATTTATCTGTAGAATTTAGCTTGATTTGTTAAAAAATAATTATATAACTATTTTTTATAATATCAACGTTAATTAAAATATGATTTTAACTTTTTTAAACATCTCTTAATTTTATCCGAAACCAAATTAAACATCAAACCGGTATTTGGATTATCTAAATTTATATTTAAAATAGTATTTAAATAACTTAAAATTATATTTATTACTGATAATTAAATTTTAAAAAAAATTATATTTCTAATAATATGTTTAAGTTAAACATATAGGCAAGGTAAGAGTTGTAAAGGATAATGATATATGGCGTTGGTCGTCACAAGCAATATGTTAAATACAACCAAATTTTCTAAATAACACCAAATTTTATTAAATGCAATAAGATTTTCATTTCAATATATTTCGCTAGTTTCTGTTACTCTATGTATCATACCATGTGGCATGAAACAACCTAATTTGCTTCAGAAAAAAATCTGGTCCTTGTTGGATTATAATAACCCAGAACTATAAGATTAGTAATACGTGCACTTGCCAACTAGGCCAATGGAACTATCTTTTATCTTTAAGAGATAAATGACAAATCCAAAAATCCGTTTTTTAAAATAATATTTTTATATAAAATTCCAGGAAAAATATAATTTTCTAACTTTATACAAAACCTGACCCTAATATTTAAGTTGAATATAATGTTTTCTATAAATGATAAAAAAAATATATGCTAGCAATATATTAATATTTGTTTAACAATAACTAATAACTATCATTGTTTTTAGTGATGTCAAAAAACCGTCAGGACTTTCTCAATGATGATTTTATCAAGAATGGTGAGAGGCTCCTAAAATTTGTGGCTGAATATCACAACAATATTCGAAAGTTTCCTGTTAGACCATCACCAGATTTGAAACCTGGTTACTTAAGGGTTATGCTGCCGTCAAAAGCTAATGACAAACCCATATCTTTTGAAAGCGTCTTCATTGATATATTTAATTTAATTCTACCGGGAGTAATTTACAAAATATATAAAATTGTCATCTTAGAGCATAGCCAATTCAATTTATTGATTGAGAATCATAAAGAATTTATATTACAAAAAGAGTAGAGTATATACCTCTATCTCAGGAAAGGTTTATGGTTAGAAATAAGAAATAATTAAGAAATAAAAAAATTAGGTCAATTTAATAAGATACGCAGATAGTCTCGAACTAATATTATATAAGTTGGGTAAAATATAAATACCTATACTTACACATCAAGCTTTTTATTTAAATTTCTACTTTTTGTTAATTTAATATAGCTTGTCCATTGGCAAAGTCCGAAATATCATGGGTATTATCCAACAGGCTTTTCCTATCCTTCTCTCTATGGAGACATTCTATCTGCAGCCTTTAGTTGCATAGGATTCACATGGGTTGTTAAATATTTTCTATATTATAATTAAATCAAACTTAAACAATTTAAAATTTTCGTTAAAAAGTTTTAAATGTTTGCTTAACATAGCTATAATAAATTATTCCATAGGCTTATCCAAGAGTTTTCTAGACTGGAAGGCACTATTAAGTTAGTTTTCCATGATAAATTTTTATGGATGTCTTTAAATCTATATATTGCAGGTTTTTGGCTATATTACATTTTTTAAAGAATAATTTTGATTTTTCCTTTTTTTATGAAAATGCTTTTTTAAAAAATTATTTTGAATTATAGTCATTATTTAAAAATATTAACTTTTACTTCAAATTATTGTTTATAGTGATATATCGTAAGCATCACGAATTCCCCTTGTCCACCCTACGACTAATCCTATAAATTTTTCTAATAAAATTTAGATGTATATTATTATCATTTTTATTTCTCCTTATTATGTTTAATTTAACAAGTAAAATTTATATATATATTTGTTAGTCAGCTTGTCCAATATATACAGAGCTTGAAATTATAATGATGGATTGGCTAGCTAAAGAAATGGATCTTCCATCAAAATTTATATTCGATAGTAAATTGGGAGGTGGAGGTGGTATTGAAGTAAGTTTTTATTATATACATTATCTGCGAATGATATTTTTTTTAAATTTATATTAAGGGCTCAGCCAGTGAATCCGTTTTAATTGTGCTTATAGCTGCTAGAGAAAAAAAAATATCAGAACTTTTAAGCGACAGCTCTAAAAATATGAAATACTATGATGTTCTATCTAAACTAAGAGCCTATACATCAGATCAAGTAAATATCATATAGTAATTTTAAAAGATTTAAATTCCAATAGACTCATTCTTCGATAATCAAGGCTACGCGATTAAGTGCTATACAACTAAATATTATAGAATCGGATAAAGACTTGCGATTAGGAGTTGAAGAGCTGCAAATAAGGATAAAACAGGATTTAGAAAATGGCTTAATACCATTTTTTGTGATAATACTTTTTATTTCGAATTAAATTATGTAAATGGGATTAGTCCGAGCCCTATTTTTTCTACATACCCAAATTTTGTGATATAATTTTTTTAACGTAATTAATATATCCTTTAAAATAATGTAAGAAGCGGCTTTGTGATGCATTAATGCAATATTCATCCTTGAAATTAGTTAAAAATTGAACTATTTATTAGGGTTCAATTCCCTAACTAACTAAAATATATTTCATAAAATTTAAAATGATAGTATATCGTCCCATTTGAGCCAATTTTTTTAAAAGGCGAACTCAATATTTTAGGCAGAAAATATTACCTAAGCCTCGAAATTTCGCTAATAGATTTAAACGTTTGTGCGATACATGTGCAAAATCTTCAGACTTGCGTAATATTTTTCTGGATAAAATACTGAGTAAGCCGTTTTTAAAAATCAACTCAAATGGAGCGATTTTGCATCACTTGATAACCATACGTAAACGAATGAAGATATGATTCTGTTTGACTAATATTTTAGAATCTATGTGTGGATAAATGAGATGGTTAACTAACATGGTATAAATAATGAATTTTTTAAAAAATAATTAGAGAACAATTATCGCTAATTTTATTAAAGGTATGCTGCAACATAGGAACCACCAGTACTTGTGCGATGGATAATATTGAAGAAATAGGACAAATAAGTCATTAAAAATATTAGCATATTAAATACATTTTTATAATAAAATGAAATATTTTTCGTATAAGGTTTAATTTTATAAAATTATTAAAGGTAAAAAATACAATTTGTGGCTTCATATTGATGCAGCATATGCCGGTTCCTTGTTTCTTTGCAAAGAATATCGTCAATCTTTCTCAGGAATCAATGTTGGTGAATCGATAAAATATTTTAAAATTTTCAATTTTATTACACAAATAATAAATATTTTATTTAAAATATTTAAAGCTAGCTCAATCCTTTAACTTTAATCCACACAAATTGATGAGCATTTGCTTTGATTGTTCCGTTTTATGGTAATAAAAATCCTGAATTGAACAAATTTGTTAAATATTCTTGATGTCTAATATAATAATTAATACTATTTAAAATAAAATATAATTCAAACGAATAGGGTTGAAGATATTAACGTTATAAAGATGGCTCTAGGTTTATCTGCGGTATATTTAAAAAGTGATTATCCTAACATAGTTGAATACAAAGTATTTTACCCTTAATACTTTTCTTTTAAATATGATTAATAATATTTTTCCATATATAGGATTGGCAGGTATCCCTCGGTCGACGATTCAGATCGCTAAAATTATATTTCCATATAAAGTTATTGGGAATGGACTTTATAAAGGCTCAAATACGAAACGTTTGTTAACTATGATACTTGTAAATTTTGACTATTTATTCCTATTTTTTTAGAACGTTGCCCTTGCCGAATATCTTGGAGACTTAATACGAACTGATGAACGCCTATATGTACCATATCCAATTGCAGCGGGAATGTTGTGTTTCTGTGTGAATGTAATTGTTTAATTTTTCTAATAGTAATTGTGGTTTTATATATAATTAAGATCTATAATCTAAGATTTAGAATTTTATTAAAATAACTAAATCCACAACTGGAAACAAGCTTTTTTTTTAAGAACCATCATTTTATAATACGAAATCAGTTTTAATTATATTTGTCATATTTTTTGAAAAAAATTCAAAATTATTTTTAACAAATATTTATACATTTTTTTGAAGGTAACATATTTAAATAAGTATAATTAAGAATAAATTTTTTTAAATCGATAATAATTTTTTAAAAAAGATATATGCATTAGTTTTAATACTTTCATATAATAAATAGTATATGCAAAATTAAAGTTTAATATATATACCAGTATAACTTGCTTATACGGTTTTACCGTTTTTAGCAGATTTCGACCCAAAAATTCTAAAATTATCAATGTTTTTCTTCTACATTTCTGATTTTTGGTTTATTTATTTAATTGTTATTATTTTTATTTTTTTTTTCACTAGAAATCCAACTCTCTAACACAAGTGCTATTTAAAAAACTCAATGAACATGACATTTATCTCACTTCAACTGAAGTTAAAGGGCGATTCCTGATCAGGTGGTAATCTTAGTCTAAAAAACATATTATCATTATATCTATATTTAATAGTCTTCTTACCCTTTATTATGAAATTAAAAAAGTAAAAATAATAATATTTGTAATCGAAAGAAGAGATGTATGAATTAAATAAAATTTTGTGCTTGTTTAGATTTCACTAATAACTATCTCCCTGTAAACTCCCTTATATTACTCATGGCTATAGGACAGGAGCATTACTTATTTTATTATATTGTATTGTTATGATAATTTTTACAGTAATTTATATTCAATTATTATCCGAGATATTTAGAAGAACTCAGCATTTTTTTCTAAAAATTTATTTATTATATATGGTTTCTAATACTGACCAACATTAATATTATCATTATTTTATTTTTTTTAAATATTAACTGAAAAATAAACTAAAAAAAAGAAAATACCTAATAATGAAAAATTTTGCTAATTCTAGCTATACAAAGTTGAAAATAAAAAAAGAATTTTTAATGAATGATAGATTTTGCCCTATTATATAAATTATATATAATGACAACGGATAGGCATAAAGGTGTGCTCATAAATTTAAAAAATCCAGGCCGGGATTAAAATAATTAGTTTTACAGAACCCGTGCAAGGTCTAATTTTTAAATATAAATCATATCAGTTGTTAAAAAAATCATTGGATCATTTCATTTGTTACTTATATTTTAAATTCCCATTAAAACAATTTACAACTTACATCCACAATCATTTTAAATGACAATATTTTAAAATTAGAGCCCATAAATCAATATTAGAAAAAATAAAAATTTTTTAAATCTCAGGCTTTACTTGAAAGTAAAAAAATTTACATCTAGTCCTAGCTTGAAAATTAGACCTTTGCGATTCTCTTCATAGCACGCCACAAATGACGAGTTAGCAATTTACTAATTATATAATATTGTTGCTAGACCTATAGAAATTTTTTTATCTAAACTAAAAATAAAAATGATTTTTGATAATCCTTATTTCCAGTATCATATCATATTATGTAAAAAAAAAGATTTCCAATAGGATCATCTAAATGTGATAAAGAAGATGTTGACGATGCGTGGAAACTAATAAAAGATATTTTGAACGATATAAATGATACAAATCAAGACCATAATGATATAACTCAAACTAGATCCACCTATATTTAAATAACAAAATACTGCTTTATTTACAACATGCTTGATTATAATGTATATGAACAAAATGTTCCTTTTTTTATATTGGCAACTATTAAGCGTAATGATATAAATTTGATTATTGATAGAGTTTTAATAATATTTTTTAACAAATAATAAATCGAACATAATTTATTATAATTTCAAGGTCAAAAATGTTGCATTAATTATTTGATATGACGAATACCTGTATTTTTTTTACTTTTAAAATATTGGTTTAATCATTTTGAAAGTAAAATTTTAATATAACAATTCTACACTATGTTCAATACTAATGCTATATCCGAATTTTGTCAATCCTTCTAAATTTCAGGCAAGGTCGTAACTCCGGGAAAGGGTGGTTAAGAATTAGTTTTCATTCTAAATATTCTAGACCTACCTCCAAAAAAGATAAAAATATAAATATTGCATATATGCTTAAATTACCCAATCCAGCCATTTATTGCAAATTATTTATAATAATAAATTCATATCATATTCTAAGATGCTTATTCGTGAATCCAATTTAAAAAATGGCAAACCTAGTATTATTAGTGTCCCACAACCAAATATTTGTAATTATGTCATTAATTCTAAGGCCGTTTGTGTCACTTTAAATTATATCTAGATGTCTATCAATATATTAGCACAGCCATTAATCATTGGGACACGTTTACAAATGAATCTCAACAGGACAAAAAATGCGTCATGATTAACTTAGAATATTGATTAACTTAGAATATTGATTAACTTAGAATATTGGTTAACTAGCTTTTGTAAACTTGCCAACAATATACCAGCTGTATGTATGGAAAAATTGTTAAAAATATACTAAGTAGGTGTCTTCTTAGTTGATGTTATTAAAATAAATCAATGTTTCTATTGTAACAATTTTGGATAATTGTTTTGCATTTATAAATTTTCAATAAAGTAACTAAAATATTTTTGTAAATATTTGACTATTTTCTTTATTTAAAAAATTTTCCACCCCAACTGAAAATTATTGCAAATTATTTTAATTTACCTTAATGAGAGTTGTCTAGTTTTCCGTAGGAGAGCGTGTTTTTCGATATTTTTATTATTATGATTTCGAAAATATGATTTCAAATCCGTGTCTGTCAGAAAGAGATAAACTCAAACAAGACTTGAAATCAGTCTTGTTTAAAACCTAATAGTTGATTTTTTAAATCGGCCCGATTTGGCATAAATAATATGTACGACTTGAAATGCAAATAGAGGTTCAAACCTTCCTTCCATCTATGAGCAAAATTTCCAGGCTTGCATATAATTATCTTGGCTAAAACTCAGTGGCGTCACTAGGGAAGGGCGCGCAGGGGTTCGAGCCCCTTGAAAAATTTGAATAGCCTCCTGAAGCAATTTTTTTTTAATGGCTCCATAATATCCCCTTGAACTAAAAATAAATTGTTTTGATTGCCCACTGAATGATTTCTTTTATAATTCTATTAAGTAATATTTAGATTTAATTTTATTATTTAAAAATGATAAGACTATCTAAATCTTTATTAAATGAATACTATTATAATTATTAGATTAGAATTAATTATTTCACTATGTCAGCTTGCAATTAAATCCTGTGTAAAAATAGAATATCAATATCACTCACTAAATATTAATTTAACATAAACAGTTGAAGCTTAATTGACTTTTATTATTTAAATTATTATATAACCCATAAATAAATACAATCATTTATTAATTTAAAATTAACAAATTTAATATTTTAATTATCCGAGTTCATAATCACTAATCAACTATATCATTCATTTTTAAATTAATTACCATGCCTCTTCCTAAAAATATTTTCAAGGTCCAAATAAATATAGGAGATTTCTTTATAAAAAAATAGACATATAGTTTATAATCCCCTATTATATGTAATTGGTTATAATACAAACTTATTTGACAGTTATATAATATATTATAGTTAATATTTTAATAAATTTTACTAATAAATGCTTTGATAATAAATATAAGTAACAATTTTCATTCAATTCTTTAACATCTTATATTTTATTAAAATTAAATATTCATTCCACAAGATGTAATAATTTTTTTTTTATATATATAACTTTATTATTTATTCATAATCATTAAATTACAGAGGATTAAAAAATATATATTAAAATGGATATATTAAAAATTAAATATAAAAAAAAATAAATATATAATATATATAATCTATGAAGACATTAAAAAGGACTATAAAAAGGACTATAAAAAAAATATAGATATCTTTTCTTTTATTTTTTAACGTGTTTTTAGGAAAACAATTATTTTTTTATTTGCAAAACTTTAGAGTTGAATTTTTAATACTAGTATATTTTTTATATTATTACAAACTATTATTATTTCAAGATATAATATACGAACTCGAGGTGGTGCAACAATAATATATAAAATCTTAATTGCTTGATCATATCCCTCTGGTTAAAATGTTTCATTTTTAAGGTGGCATCCTTTCCGTGTAAATAACTTAAGGCTTCAATATATTTACATAATTTCTTCTAAAGATTTTTAGTGTTTTATCAATTTATCTAACATAATAAATTCTGATATGTTAACATCATGAGTGCCATGGCTATGACTGCAAATTAACCAGCATCTATTATTTGTATGGCTATGTAATTTAAGATTATTACTACAGCTGCTGAGAGCATATGATCGCATATTTTAGATAAGCAATAATGGTCAAATGTGTTTATATATCATTAAAAATGGAAGATAATCTTTTAGAAATTTAATATCTCACAATAATTTTCTCGATTACTAATATAGTTTCCATCATATCATCTAAGAGGTAGCTAACCACCATATAGTTTTATGATTTGGATTTGTTTATAATCTTTTCTTCAAGAATTGTTGATTTGATTATGCCTATAAATTTTTTATTATTAATCCATTCTATAAAACATTTTCTAAAATGGTAACAGAGAGTTTTATTAGTTTCATGACCTTTTTGTCAATGTAAGTTGTTAAGAATTATATTATATTAGGTGACTTTTAAAAACCATTATCAATTGAGGCATATGCATGAATTAATTAACCTTTTTTATCACCTGTAATTCTTTAGAAGCAAAATTTTTTTATATCATCAATTGAAGATATTTTATACTGTAATAAATAGATTTTGTTAAAAAATATTATTTTTAGAAATGTCATGAATTGTTTTAATTATTTTATGCTATTTTATTTTGTATGCATAATATAATAAATGACAAAATATGAAATTTAAATTGTTCAGAGTTAGCAAATTTTAAGAAAGTATAATATATTAATATAAACACGAATTATAGAGTAGGGGGCAACGACCCCCATAAATTTTTTTTGAGTTGAGTCCCCTGAGATAGTAAAGACTAGCTACACCCCTGCTGAAACTTTAATCGGGCCATATTTAAAAATCGACAAAAAGCGGGATTTTTAACAACATTACATGAAATATAATATAATTACAGATTTTGTTTCATTGTGACTAATTTTATAATTTTCTCTTCCACTATAATCTCCAGTGTCACCAAAACGACTGTTCAGCACATCGCCAAATATGTACCCAGTTTTATTAGATAATATTTTATTTGTTACATTACATAATAATAATTTTATTTAGAAAATGTTGTTCTATATATATCAAACATATAATTAATCAAAATAATTAGATTATATAATTACATATATATATATATATATATAATAATAATAATATCAGACATAATTGTTAAAAGGTCCGATTTGGTTTGATTTTTAAAAACGACCCGATAATTTTAGCTAAAATATATGTAAACCTAGATTTGGCAAATGAAGGCCCAAACATTTTTTCCGTCTATGAGAAAAATTGCCAGACATAGATAATATTATTTTAGCTAATATTAATAGGTCGATTCATGCATCAATTCATATGGAAAGTTATAAAAATATACATGAATAAATCTGTTATCCTCAATCACAATATAGAAAACCAAGATTCAATACTATATTAGAAGTTATTATTATAATGTATATTTATTTTTTTAGATCAAACTATAACATCGGTGGCGGGTATGCCATGAAAACACTAATTGAAGTCCTATGAAGAATATTCAAAATTATGGAATTATTTTCAAGAAGCTTTACATTCATCAGAAAATCCTCAAGATAAGATATTTTGTTAATTATGTATCACCAGCTTATACAATTTATAATTATAACATGAATTTTCTTATCTTATATACATTTGAATCATGGTCAGTACATAGCTAGTTACATCTAAAGAAAGGTTTTGGTACTTGTGGAACCCTAATTATGGACATATATAGAAATGTAATGATCCTGCATTTGTGAATCCCTTAGTTACACCTAAAGAAAGGTTTTCGTACCTGTGGAACCCTAATTATGGACATGTTTTTAGAACTGTAATGATATTGCATCTATAAATCCCTTTTAAGGAAGTAGCATTCATTAACTATAATCTAGATAAATACATCTTTTTTTACACATATACCTTTAAACTTAAATAGTTACATTTGAATTTTAACTTTGTTGTGTATATCAGATAGATCTAAAAGACCACACAATTTGGTTATTGAACATTTCATTCCACTCTTGATTATACATAGAATATCTTTATTCTTTATAAGGATTAAAAGACATGCAATTTTATATTGAAAATTTTTTATTCCACTCAGTAAGTATAAAATAACCATACAATTAGATTTATTATAATATTCTACACTTCCTTTTGCAATTATAAGTTTACTTACACATATACCTTCTAAACTGGAATGGTTACATTTGATCTATTTTAATTTGTTGAGTATATCAGATCCAAAGTTAAGTGAAGGGTCACACAATTAGATATATTGAATTCCTTATTCTTGTAAATATAAGAACCAAAAGATCATAGGTTATTGAACATTTCATTCCACTCTTGATTGTATATATCTACATCCTTTTGCAATTTATAAGAGCAAAGGATCATCCAATTTTATACTAAATATTTTTATCCCACTCAATTCCCTTTGAAGCTGTAATGGTTACATTAAATTGAACATAGACTATGATTACTGTATTGTATGGGTTGAATCATTAATAAAAAAATAACACTATATCTACTGTTCAAGCAAATTTTTTAATTTTAATCATATTTATTTACAGATTCTATGAACATTAAATCTCAATAGTGATAGTAATCATCAAAACTTACATTAAAGAATTTAAACTTAAAATCAGCCATCACCCACCTTTAAAGTAATTAAATTATACTGTAGTTCTCAGGTATAGGCTCTTTTTTTACCCCACTCTTTTTTACTAAGCCTATAAAGGTTTAAACAACTTTTTTCGAAATGTTGCGCCTACAAGTACGTGCGGCTTGCCCACAAACGTGTGAAGGGCTTTTCACTTTTCTTCCCCTAATTAACTATCCAGTTTGATAGATTTTGAGGAAAACCTAGGGTAGCTCTGTTGTACCCACAACCAGAGGGCGAAAACGCTTTTATCACGTTATCACGTATATTAATAGGCCGTTTTTATTTTTTTAACAAAACTAATCAGATGTTGCTTTACTACTGTACGATAATTATAGGATTTCATTTGTTTTAACAGGTCCATTATATATATTTTTTTATAAGGATTAAAGTAATAATAAATCTATTTTATTTATTAGAAACCTGAAATAGTTTAAAATAAAAATATGATATATAATTCCACGTTTTTCTCTTTTGTCTTAAAACCACAAAAACAGATGAAAATATAGCACGAATCCAATATTTGCTTTGTAAAATATGAACTTTTTTGAAAACAAGCTCATAATGGCACCTATGGTCCGATTTGGGACTCTTCCCTCTCGTTTAACAGCATTAGATTATGGTGCAGATTTAGTATTCGCCGAAGAGATCGTTGACCGCCTAATTCTTAAATCAAAATTTGTCTTAAATCATAAATTGAAAACAATCGATTTTATAGTTAAGGAAAATGAATTTCATAAAGTTGATAAAAATTCAAATATCGTGGAAAATATTGCCTACAAACATAATTTTATTGCTGAAAATAATACTGTTTTCCGAACACCACCTTTAAAAGAAAATAATAAGCTTATATTTCAGTTAGGAACAAGAAACATTGAAAATGCCATTAAGATAAGTCAGTATTTGAGTGGAGTAAATTGGAAGTCAGAATTCAATGTTCCAAGTATATATTAAATTTGATAAATTTTCTAGATATAAATTACATGTTTTCTTATTAAATTATATAATTTATACTCTTTTAAAGATGATGATGACTCAAGTCCATACATTATATCTGGAATAGATTTGAATATGGGTTGTCCTAAAGATTATTCATTAAAAGCAGGTATTGGGTCAGCACTTTTGAGATCAGATACAGAGATTGAGCTTGCTTGTAGAATATTGGAAGCCTTAGTGAAGGAAAATAGACCTAAAGGTAAAATAATATTACCAATTTTTTATAATTTAATTTAAGATATTAAAACCTCATGTAAGATTAGAGTTCTTCCAACTTTGCCTGATACCCTAAGGCTTTGCCAAACTCTACAAAAAACTGGAATCGATGCATTGACCATTCATGGAAGAACCCCTAGTGAAAAGAAATCTGATTTTTCTACTCCAAATAGGGACCACTATATAAATGAAATATCTAGATTATTAAATGACTCATGTACAATTATTGCAAATGGAGGTTCTAATTGTATCAACAAAATACTTGACATTGATTATTTTAAAGCAGAAACAGGTTTTTATATATAAACATAAAGAGTATTAGTAGACTGCTCTGCTCTTTGTCTAAAATAATAAATAAACAAATAGAATAACCCAAAAATGTAAACCTCGAGGCGTTTGAATTCAACCAAACATGGGGTATCCAAAGTTATTAGCATATATAAAATTTCAAAGAAATAAAAAAATATATGTTAAGAACAACTGATACTCAAAAAAATCACCTCAGTGAATGATCCAAAAAATTTTAAAATTAGGCAATTTTTTTTAGCTTAAATTGTTTTGGGATGGGCTTGAGTTAGATAATTGACAACAAACATCATAAAATAATTAATATTAATAACACCTACTAATAGGATTTTTTTTATTTAAATTGTAAATTCGCTTTTGTTGGGACATATAGGTTAAAAAAGGTATCTACATTTGACCAATATTAAATAAATAAACGTTGATTTTTTTTTTCAATCACCTAATTTGAATCAATTTCAAATGTATTAAGTCACTATCCTAAGCTAAAAAAATTAGTTTAACCTTAGAAATATCCTAGGTCACATTTTTTTACCACATCCTCGAAGCATGAGGGTGTAATTAATGAGATGTTGACTTATTGTTCTTTTTTTTTCATTCCAGTCTTGAGGCTGAGATAATTTTTTGACTAAGTCAAATTTTGGAGTCCCCTGAATGAGCAATCTACCAATACTTATTCTTATTTTTCCAAAGAATTTTATTTTATTTAATCAAATTAATTACCACTGAAATATTTAACTTAGAGACCTGCAGACACAGTCCAGGTAGGATTTTTAAAAACTGAGCTCTAAAAAATTATAAACCCGGCCAGAATTTTTAAAGCTACATTTTATTTATTACATGGCTTGCCATAGTTTTCTAACAGAAACTCATATTATGAGAGCCCAATATATCTTATCAACATTTTTTATATTTAATTCTTATACGCTTCGAATAAATTAGAGAAGAAAAAAATGTCATTTCCTCTATTTTTGCCATTTTTTTGAATAAAGTCCATAAAAAGGAATATCTATAAACTTGTTTTTGAATAAAAAATGTTGTGATTTTATATAGAAAAGAATACTCAAATATTCTTAAATTTTGCCCTATAAGCTATAATGTAATATCTTCTTTTTTTACTGAATAAGGTTTAAAAAAAATGAAATGTATTTTATTTTTTAAATAAACCATTTGTTAAAAACACTAAGAGGGAATTTATTTTAATTAAAATATTAATTAAAAAATGAATAGTTTGAACTTGTTAGGAATATATTATATTAATTAATATTTTCTTTTTATAAATATATTTTTTAGATAAATTATTAAAAAAGAGAATAAACAATTGAATAGAATGACCATTCTATAACAGATATAACTAATATTTTAGACATAAAGTTAATTGCTTCCTAAAATTTATTAGTGCTTCTGGTCGAGAGCTAAAAAGTGGGGAAGAAAATCTCCCGAAATTTATATACATATTTTAGTGGAAATAGACAATAATTGTTCCATATCATATAAAGAAAAATCAAGATAATATGTTTATGCGGATTGTTAATAATAAGTCAACAAATAAAAAAAATAACTATTCATTTAAGAGTTACTAACGTTTCTGAAAGAATGAATAGAAATGAAGTAATTGGAAAAAGAAAAAAAATATTAAAATATTGCAGGTTGTCAGTATTAGATGACAGCAAATTGCCATTTTTAGATTATAAGGTGTTTAATACATTAATGTGATCTATATGGACGAGCTCATGCTACTGAATGTTCAAATCCGTAAAGGCGCTTAAATCTAGAAATATGATACTGATTCACTTTAAAATTTTGCGAGGTAGGTTTGATACAATTAAATTCGAAGAATATTTGAACGAATTCTTTTATATCTTGACGCAAGAATATGACTTATTTTACTATTATTATATATAATATTCCATTTCATAACTCATTTATGTTATTTAACAGTATCTCTGTGTTCAGCTATAAACTTTTATTTTTACCCCTTTATTCGATATATAAAAACCAAGTAAAGAAAGTGAATTGATAAATTCCTCAATTACAAATTAGACATTTATTTAACATTAAATTATTGAATACATTTTTTTTTTCCTTTTTAATCTACAGATATCAGTTCAAGTTTGTGAAAGATATTTTGCTCATATAAGGAAATATATAAATTAAAATCAAAAGAGCTGTTTTAAAGTGGTGCTCCAGCGCACTCCTTTTAAATTGGTAAAAGCGAAAGTTAGCTACTTTAAAAAGAGGACGTTAACAATTTTGATAAAAATAGTTGAATGACATTTATTTCATTATTTACTACGATATTCGAATTGAATAATAATAAAATATAAAAAAATTTTTTTTTACTTCGTCTATGCTCTCATTATATGAGTTCCTGTTCGAAAACAATGACAAATTCTGTATATCAATTAACTTTTGAAAAAAACATCCTGATGGATTTAACATTCGTTATAAAATTTTAAAAATCCAATCAGAGCCTAAACATACAAATTTGGGCCAAACAAAATACTTATGAGAAAAAGTGTGGGCACAGAGTTGAAATCCTTATCCGAGCTGGATAAAAATAACACATCTTTGGGTCTCTTATTTCTAATGAATATTATAGGCTGTAACTCAATTATGCTAGCAAGGAGTGCTATGAAAAATCTTTCTATATTCTCTACAAGTATGGTAACGAGAGATGAAGTTATAAGAAAATATTTAAAATATGTAAGCCATTATTTTCTTTCTATTAAGGTCACTTTGACTCCATTGATTTCTTAATTTTATTTATATAATGTAAATCCATAAATTTTAAGTTATTAAATACTGTACGTTAATTTATCTTATAGGCTTTAATATATGAAAATGAATTTATAAATTCTAAATATGCCATACAACAAATGTTTTATCATGATGGAAAATCGGATCAATTTCAAAAGTTATTGAAAGCAAAAAATTATCGAGAGATGTGGTAAATGAATGAGTTTTTATTTTAATATATTTAATTAATAATTAGTAAAATTTGGAAACCTGATACTGAATTATTTATAGATATTGCAGATGATATTTATTCAGATTCTTTTGAAAGTCATAAAAATAGTAAAATATATAGAATCTTTTTTAATCAAAACAATATCTTCAAATGTTTTTGATCAGATATAGACGTTGCCAAATTTGATAATGTGGATGGTATAATTATAATGGACCTACATTATGATTACAGAGAATGGCCAAACATGCAAATAGATAACAATTACAGATTACAATTTAATAAATTCCCTAATCCTAAATTGGCGTTAATACATTTTTGCAATATTTTAAATATACCCCAACCTTCTTATTATAGCATATCTAGTCCTGATAATAGAACTTTTAAAGGCATAGTTGATATCAAAGATCTACAATTTTCCACATATAAATGGTGAAAATTATATTTTATTTAGAAATAATTTTTGTTATTAATAAGCAGGGATGTGAACCTGAACTTTTTTAAATTTAGGGTTCCAGGGTTCAGTAAATTTTTTAAAAAATATTAAATTTTTATTTAATTATTTTAAAAAATATATTTAAAATAACGTATATAAAATTATATAAAAATTAAATATAAAAAAACATGCAGCTTATTTAAAACATTACTCTCAATATAAAAACATTTTTTGGTAAAAATTATTTTGCGTTAATAATATTGGGAATATTTGTTTTTGGATTATTAAATTAAAAATAAAGAAATTAATCATAAAGTAAATGCTTATTAATAGCAAATTCCAATGCACTGTCAAAATTAGGCATAAAAATCTATATTTTTTATTTTAACATTTCGATTTAGAAGAAATGATAATTGCTTATATTCTAATTATAACTAGTAATTATTTTTATGGTAAGGCCTAAATATAGTAAAATAAAGTTTATAAAAAACTGATGTTTCTGTTATTTTTACTAAATTTCATAAATCTTTATTTTTCTGAAACTGATTCAGAGATATTTCACTGTGAACCAAAACCCAAACCCTCTTTTTTTTGAAGGGTGGCTCACTACCCTGTTAATAAAAAGTAAATTGATCATATATTGCATTAATTTGTAGAAAATGAGATCCTACTAGTTATGTTTTTTTGTAAAAATACAAATGTTAAAACTACTCTGATAACTTATAGAGGTTTCTATTTTTAACATGTTGGAGAAAGATAACAATTTGAGTTATTTTAATTGGGGAAGAAATTATGTGCACATTTTTTTAATCATAATGCAATTTTTTAAATAATTTTACAGTTTTTAAATTATTATCAGTTTTTTAAAATATATTTTCATTTTTATAATTATTTTCTTAGTTTTTTTAATTTAAATTCTCAGTTTAACTATTTTTTTTGTTAGTTTTTACCGAACTAAGCAATTCAAGTTAAGGACTTAGTTACATTAGGCAATACAAAAAAGATAAGGGTTAGTGGTATATTAAATGCTAGAAGCACTAATTTTTTCAAAGCAGCCAATAAGTTTTTTTTTAGTTTTTACCAACTACATAGTTAAGGCTAAAACCTTGTGGACCACATTAGTGGTTAGTTTAAGGCAATGTAAAAGTTTATATTATATAGAGAGAAATACTCATTTTATTAAACACCAAACCCACTACATTTGGTATAGGCTTACAAAAACTGAAAAATAACTTTATTTGAAACTAAAAACATGAATTAAAAGCTGAATAAATTGATAAACTGTAAAATCAATTAATATGGCATGAAAATGAGAAACCCCCCCCCCCATCCAAAAATTTGCCTGTTTTGTAAATATCATTTTAACCAAAAAATTTACAACAAACCCCCCACTCTCCCAAAAGATGTTTACAATACAATAATATGAAAAAAAAAATATTAATAATTTTTTATAATAAAGACTAATTGAATTTTTTTATAAAAAAGTGAAAAACTATTAAATTATTTTTATTAAAATATAACTAGGTCAAAGGTCTACAATATTTGACCTAAAGATTTCCAATAAAATTTACTAATAGTATCCTGGATATGCTTATACACATTTATAACATCAGGCTTTGATTTTATGATCAAATACTGTACCATTATGATATAAAATATACTTCATTAAAGTTTCTTACCTTACTAAAACATTTGACTTAAAATCCAAGATGTTAAACATAAAATGAATATGGGTTATACTTTTTTTACTTTCAAGACCATATTTTATTATTTTATTTCTATTCATCTTAGGGAGAAAAGTAAAAAAATTGCAGAACAATCATCAGCATTATGTGCAATAAAATATATTTCAAAATTTTTGTCATTATAAATAATGTATCCATACTTTGCAAAATAAAGTATAATAAATTATTTTAATCTTATTAATGAATTGTGATTGTATATTAAATAAATATAAAAAACTAACAAAAATTTTGAATCATTTTACCAATATAAGCCTTTGCACAATTGTCTTTTGGATATATATATATTACTAAATTGAGATAATCTGGTAGCAAAATTCCATAAAATTTTGTTCTTTGACTAAATCAAAATCCTAGATGTGATCTTGACTAATCTTTTATTTATTACAAGTTTATTCTTGCATACATATTATATTTCATTTATTAATTTTAATGTTATTATATTTAAACAAATATTATAATACAAAAAGATTGTCTAATCTTGGAGTTATGGACTAGGTTTTTAGTATAATTTTATGATAGTTTATTAATGAAACTTGATAATAGATAAATCCTTTAAAGCTAAAACAATTGCTTAATTAATTTATAAGCATTGTAAATTGGAGCTTAAAATTTAATATTTCCTAATAAGATTTAGTAGGAATAATATTATAATGTATTATAATATCACAAGAAAAATATGACTTTACATAATATTGAAAATCACAAAGTAAATAAATTTTCATCTTCCTTCATTAGTTTTAATATTTGAAATACTGATTCAGGTGAAGTCTTTAGTTTTATTAATTCCAAGATTTCTCTTAAATTTGTAAATATATTTAGTTAAAATATGCTTTTATATACTTAAATATTTCTGGACGCATATTTATGCCGGATAATAGTATTAATTTATAAAATATCATATCTTCAGGTGAAAATATTTTTTGAGCTTGAAATATAAAATTTAAATCCATATTAGATTGTCAACGGATAAGAAAATAATACAATTGATAGCTTGTTACAACAATTAACTGACAGGGGAATTTCAAATAATAATGATAGCATTGTATTGATTTTTTAATCAAATATATAATTAAGAATGCGAAGATTTTAGATATTCTATATATATTATCCATAATCTATATATGATCGTTTTCCTATTATCTTAATGTTAATACAATTTATATCTATTAACTTTCTTAGCCTCTTGATATATTAGTTTAATATTTACTATAAAACAGGGATGTCATTAGCCTTTACAATATCAGGGTGCTCAAAAAATTTTTTTAATTTATTATTCCAAAATGACTTAAGTTAACATCAAAATGACTTGTTTTTTAGTTAATATTTTCAAAATAATCTTTTTTAAGGGGCTAGAAACCCTACGCATCACCTAGTGACAGTGGCCTCTACAACGAAAGGAGGGGCCGAAGAGACTGCTTCTAAAAATTTAAATAGTAGTACCTTTTTAAATTTAATTATTTTATTAATATTTTATTTTCGCTTTAAACCCAGGGTTTTATGCTGCACTTATGCCTAACGATGAATCGATAAAATTTTTAAATCAGTTACACCAAAGAGAATGAAGAAAAAGTCAATCATTAAAGAAGATATCGAGCATATATCTAAATTCAAGTCAAATTTTTGAAATTTTGATGTTTCGAAATATTTATAAGAAGGCTAAAACCGGGGATTATTATATTAAAATTAACATATCAAATATAAAACAAAATATTATTTTATAAAAACGGAGGTGGGACTACAAGTTCCCAAAAAACATGAATAGTTATATTTTAAAATAGTTATTTGTAGGTTTTGTTTTAAAAAATAGTATTCTTTTGGTTCTGTTGTAAGGGCTTTTATCTTATCGCCTATATTTTTTAAGAATTTTAAAGTTCCGCTTGGCATATGTCCAAGGGAAGAGATAACGATCGGTGTAAAAATATAATTTGGAATATTTCATTGTTTTTTTTTCTCGGCTATATCAACCGGATTAGAATTTAAATTTTTTGGGGGAAAAGATACGCATGTGAAGTCCCAAATTCGGAAGTTAAGCTATCTGGTCTTAAGTCATCATCTAATGATAAATTTATAGGCTCCAAGATGTTTGTTATTCGGGCCCTGGTATGAGAACGGTTAATAGCTAAATTAATTGCTGCATGCCTGCCTTGACTATATATACATTTTAGACCATGTCTCCCTTTGGAGTCAACTAATATTTTACATTTGATACATGCGTGTAGTTGAACAATGTTACATCCAAGTCGATGGCCTATGGCAACTCTTAGTTGTTCATCTGATAAGAGGTTACCTAGGTTACGACTTGGTAATGCTTCCAACCATTCATAACCACTAGTACAGTCAGCATTCTGTAATAGTTGAATATACTCCAAAGGGGGGTGATGAGATTATTTAAAATTTTTTATAATTAAAGGTTCGAAAATAGATTGGTGTGTTAAGATTGTGGGTAAAACAGCTTCAGGTGGAGCTAAAGATACCCTAGCTGTCAAGGCTGAGTTTAAAAGGTTATCTTTAGGAGAGATAAAAGAAGATATCATGGCGTTATTCATCAAACGCGATGCCAAAAATGCAGAAAGAGATATAAGATTTAAAGGATATAAATCTAAACCACCCATTTTCGAGGGTAATTGTGAGAAACCCCAATTAAAATCTTCCAATTTAATATTTATAATATTTTCTAATAAACTTCTAAAAAATTCATAAAAATAATTTCTTTATTTAAAAAAAAAGGAAGAAGATCTAAAAATATGTAAAATCTTTTGTAAAAATAAATATTTTTTTTAAAGAAAAAAGCTCTGGTGTGAAGGAATTTCTTTAAAAATATTTTCAAGTCCTAATAAGCCTTCGAAAAATTTTTACACGAACACCTCACAGTTGGAAAAACTGCTTAAAGATGAACCTAGAAGATTAATTTCACTTTTTTTAAACCCTTGGACTTCGAGAGTATTTGAATTTAAAAAGCATATTTCAGATTTAGCTTTATTTAGAGTAAGGCCTATGTTTAGAGAATTCTCTATAAATTCTATCGCTGCAAGAATATTTTTAGAAGGTCCGCAAATGGTACCATCATCTAGATACCATATGTTTAAATCTAAATTAAAAAAGGATTTTAGACAATGAACTAGGTTATGTATACCTAAACTAAAGATCAGAGGGCCCAAAGGGTCTCCTTGTTAAATACCTTCGTAAGATGGAATTGTATATTCCCCGAATTTGAGTGGAGTTCTACAGCTAAAAGCCTGTTCAATAAATCTTGTATAAACTGGGAATTTTTCAAAAAAAATTATTTTCTGGATAAAGAATTAAAAGCATTTTTAAAATCAAGCTTATAGACTACGGCGTCTGGGGGAGGATCTTCGATATATATGCGAAGAGAGTGAGCGGTTATTTCGCATCCCCTTTTAGTACCAAAGCCTAGTTGATATGTTTGGAACATTTTTGAAGCATCAGGTTTGATGCGCTCAACGATTATCTTAGCTAATAGTTTCCTAAAATAGACCCTATTGCAATTGGCCGAACTCTACCATCAGGCTTAGAAAAAGCAATTAATATTGCGCCATAAAGAATTTGGTGCTTGACTAGGTAAATCATTGTTCAATATATTTTTACTAAGTATTACCAGTGAATTTACAAATGAATCTTGATTTTAGGGTTAATTAAAAATTGGAAATAAGAGGGGCGAAAACCGTCAATTCCGCCTGCAAAGTTTTTATTAAAATATAAAACTGTTTTAATTAGTTCTTCTTAAACCTATTTCAATTAAATTAGATATTATAGAGATGGGAATCCGGAAATCGATGTAATTATTAAACATGACCTAGAGGTTAAAAAATCTAAAGATTTGTTAGATTCTGAGATCTGTAAATTTATTCAAAATATTTTTCTAATACATTATTTAACTTCTTCTTCTGATGATAATAATTCTGAGACTTATGATTCAGACTGGAAAAACATTCGTTTATTTTACCTTATCGTCCACTTTAAAACTTTTCTGCATTCCCTAATTTAACAATTTTATATAAATATTTATTAAGCATTCCTACTACCTCATGTACTGCTGAAAGGGTCATGAGTAAAATTAATTAAAGACTTCGTAGTACCATGAATGATCTACTTCTTAATAATTTAACCATGTTATCAATAGAAAAAATTTATTTAAACAATTAAATTATAAATTCTTCCGCTTTCTATTCCCCTAATTTGTCTAAATTATTCATTTAAAAATAATATTTCGAAATCGAAAGTATAATTTTTTACACTATATTTATTAAAGATTGATGCAATAAAAATTATTTTTGAAATTTATGGGTGTCAAAAAATAATAACCATTTTTTCGAGGAAGGGTTGGTACTTTTCGGGGGCTATTCTGCTTCCATCGCTCAGAAAGTGTAATGGCCACTGAGTGATGCTACCTATATAACCTTATGTTAATTCCTATCCACCAGCCAATCCCTGTTCGGGATCGGTTTTAGAAGAATTTTATTATGAAAAAAAACTTTTTCCCACAACCTACTTGTTTTGTACAGGGATCTTCTGTCTCGAAGACAAGGGTTTTACCATGCAATAGAAAAACAAATATTTTTTAAGTCTCATTTAAAAAATATGATAGATTATTATATATAAGAGAGAATACATTTAGGTGTTAGGATTAACAAAAATTTAAAAATTAGTTGACTGCAAATAAAGAACATAATTAAAAAATAGTTTGATGGAGCCAAATTGCAAGGGAAATTTGTTAGCTTAAATTAAAATTGTTAAATTTATATAATTTAATAATAATCATTTACAATATTGCGCTTCCCTTTTATAGGGAAGCGCCTAAATACCATTTCATCGTGATTCTACAAATTTTAATTTTCTATCTAAAAATAAAATAAAATATTAAAATGCAGTTTAATAATGAATCCGCACAATTATTAATTAATATTCACGCAAATAATATTTTCGAAATTATCAAATCTGTCACTCATTTATGACATTTCCCCCCTTTATCGGACCTCGTTGGCTCCAACAACTGCCTATATTCCTCTTCTCCTACCCGTAACACTGGCGTGTCCGGCGCCATTCGTTGATATGATTGTATTGCTCTGTTATCGGAAGATGCGGACGTTGGCTCCGACTCCTTCCAGGTTCGCCCTCCCATAGTATCAAACCGTTCCTTGGGACACCACCGGCGGATATGTCCCGCCATTCCACAACCATAACATATCACCCTGTCTCTTTCTTCACGTACCGTTTCCCTTGAGTGCTCTGATGGTCTTCTTTTCCCCTCCATTGATCTCGTGCCTTCCTGGGCTAAAGCCCTCCATTCACTAGCAAGCGGTTCCATATCCGCACTAATTATCGTATTTCGCATCAAATGAGTACCCAGGTCTACATATCTATATCAAATAATCATTTATCTCCTTCCCTTTTTATTTTTTCTCTCGCTTTCCCCCTTTTTTCCCTTCCCCTTTCCCCATCACTCTCCTTTCTTATATACATATTAAGCGATTTACTTGTTAATAATAGGCATACCGAATAAAATTATATTTTCCTCTACCGAAAAAAAATTATGAATTTTACGTTTTCGTCTTCTCTTACTTATTAAAAATTTTCCTTTTTCTCAACACTCTCTTACTCGTAAATCATTCTCCCTTATATTTCAACACCCAATCTCACTAACTTTATTTTCTTCTCTCTTTCTCTCTCTATTTTCGTTAAAAGAATAAAATTTTTATTAATTTTATTATATATATTTTTTTTATCATTTAACCTTAAAAAAAACTGGTAACTCTTACTATTTTCTTTTTTTTAAAAAACAACAACAACCAACCATTACCCTCTTTATTAACATCTTATTATTTTTTTTTAATTCACTTTTCCTTGCCAACAAAATAAAACATTATAATACAAATCACTCAACCCTAACCCCGTTATCTTTTTTACTATTACTTTTTTTTTAAAATTAATTTTTACTTTTCTCAGTATTTTTCTTTATTTCACATAATCCCATCCACCTATTCACATTATCCACACCCATTCTATTCCTGCCTCCGCCCCTCCGTTTGCAACAAGAACTTCAACTATTTTAGCTTCAATATTATTCAGCCGCTTATTCCTTCTTCGTTACCGGTTTATTCCACCAAATATATTTCGAAAATTTATTTTACTTAATATACACTTTCAAAACCCTTTTTCCTTTACATTATTTTATTTAACCTAAACCTCCAGAAAAATTTTTTTTTTTACTCTCTAATTTAATCTAAACTCCTAATTTTATTAAAAAAAATTTTTAATCCTACTCAACAAACTTCACAAGAACTCTTTTTTTTTTATATATTACCTTTACCATAAATTACAACAAAGAAAACTTTTATTATTCCATACACTTAACATTTTTCTCTAATATTTATTTCAGCTCCACCAAATTTCACAAAAAAAAACAATTCAAAAAAAAATTTTCCTTTTACTATTTTACTCTAATACATAACAATTTTTCCTTACAATTTGACTTGACCATACTTCAATTTTATTCCCAAAGAAAACATTTCCATTTAAAACCCAAAAAAAAAATTTCTTGTTACTTAACTAACTTGACCCACATTCCCACCTTATATATACTTCCCATTTCCCTTCCCGGGAACGACCACCTGCACCGTGACCTTGACCTATATTCCTTTTTTTTACTCCGGACCTCTCGTTGACCTCTTGCTCCTGTCACTTTTGCCCCGCCTCCGTTCCTCTGCGCATCTGATCTTCATGTCTCACACCAACCTTGCCATCCTGAAAACGGACCCGACTTAACTTTTTTCCATCACAACTCCGGCTCGCCATTTCTCCTTTTCACCATATACCCTCGCCCACACCGACTGTCCCACCATAAACTTTGCTGGTCCCTCCTCCTCACGTTCTCTCCTCGGACCCTCAGACTCCGGCCTCAGAGCATCTAACCCAATCCTCGTTCTGCGCCCTAAAAACTTCTCTGCTGGAGACAAATCCTCTCCCCTCCTACTATTATTATAATAAGCTACCGACGTCCATACTTCTCCTTTCCCATACTTTGCCTTTCGTAATCAATCTTTCACCAACCCAACCATCCGCTCTGCCTGCCCATTAGAGCTTGGGTGGTATGGATGAGATAAAATATGCTGTATCCTATTTTCTTTGCAAAATTTCGCGAACTCTGCACTGCTAAACGCTGGTCCACCGTCAAACACGATTACTTTAGCCACTCCAAACTTTGCCCACAAATTCTTAAATTTTCTGACCACTACTTGCGTCGTCAACCCTCCTACAACTTCAAACTCCACCCATTTAGAAAATGCATCAACCACTAGAAAATAATCCTTCTTTTCGTACTCGAAGAAGTCAACATGAACCCTTTCCCATGGCTCCGTTGTTTTCGGCCAAGTCCCTTCTCTATCTCTTGCTGGCATCCTGGCCCAAGTATTGCATACTACACATTGTCTCGCTAGTTCCTCAATCTCCGCATTCATCCTCGGCCACCATCAATATTCTCGTCCCCATTGTTTCATACGCTCCATTCCCTGATGACCTGGATGCAATGTTAACACCGTTCCTCTCAACTTCCCAGGTATCACTGCCCTATTTCCTCGGACTACACATTCATCCATCACCGTCAATTCACCTCCAACATTTTTATAAGCTGTATCTCCCTCTTTCCTCCGGCCCATTATACATTCTTTTATTCGACTCAAATCCCTATCTTTTGTGTCTCCCTCCGAATCTCCTCCCATGTTACCGGACCTCCCTTCAACATTCTCGATACCGCCATGACCATCGCTACCTCCTTCTTACACATCTCATCGGCATTACTTTCTTCCACATCCTCTCCTGCTCCGCATCTCGACATTATGTCCAGCAAATAATTTTCTCGGCCTCTACGATATCTCATCTCCAGGTCAAAACTGCCCACCATCAATAACCAACTATTACGTTGTGCCACAAGTCCGGGTAAAAAGCAAGACTCCGAATATAATAATTTTATTTCAATCCAAACAAAACTCCGAATATAATAATTTTATTTCAATCCAATAAATTTATATAATTTTATAATAATTTAATAATAATCGAATAAAATTAATTGTTAAAAAAAAATTAATTAATTTAAAAAAAAAATTAATTAATTTAAAAAAAAAATTAATTCAAAAAAAGAAATGAATTATTTAATGATAATAGTTATATAAAAAAATTAATTAAAAACAAAAAAAAAATAAATTCAAAAAAGAAATGAATTGATTATTTACAATTTTCGCTTCCCTTTTATAGGGAAGCAATAATCATCACAAATAAATAATTAAATCCTATCATCATAATGACTTTACAATAATTAACTTTTATAAATCTAAAAATAAAATGTTAACGTGATTAAACTAAAACATAAAATTATAAAAATAATAATGACTCACCAATTTAACTAAAACATAAATTTATAAAAATAAAAATGACTCATCAAACGCAATACATACTGACTTTACCAAAAATCAAATTTTACAAATCAAAGTCTCCCAATTATGACACCTCCCCCCTTTGATAGTATTTGTTGTTAATTTTAAATTTATGCGTTTGGCACATGTAATTTTCTTGAAGCAATGATCTTTGGGCTATTTAACACTCGCTATTTAATTTAGAAACTGATTAGAGTAGAGATATGAACAAAGATAGGTGAGAATAACCCGTTGATAGGTTCTAAATCCAAAAATTAGATTTGGACATTTAGCAAAATGTCGAGGCTTAGAAAATATTTTTATTGCTAAAATATTAAATTTTTTACCACTAATAGGAGTAGTAAGCCTTCAGAAATTTGCAGTTCATAAATATAATTTTAACCCAATAAATATCTTCTCTTCCATACTTTCCCAAAATATATGCAATATATCGTTATAACAAATTAACATTAATTTAAAAGACAAATAAATGAATTTTTTAAAAAATAATAATTACAATTTAAATTTTCAAAAAAAAACATTACAAAAAAGGTAAACCAAAATTTTCAAAAAATTATAACCCCGCTAGTCTTGCAATAAGTGACCTAGACCTCCAATAAAATTTATGAAATATACTTAACAGGGCTTTCCCTATCCCTTAGCAAAATCTCTGCCAAATCTGCTATTTACTTTTAAATCTTATTTTTTTTAATTAAAATTGCAATCAATCAAACATAATTTTTGTAATATTTCATATTTTAAGTATATATTTTATAAGTTTTTACTGTTTAGCATTGTCTTCATTAAAGTTTCGAATTCAAATGATCTTGGCAACACTTAGAAAAGTGAGTTACAATCTATCTTATATGCTAATTTTTGAGTACCTGTATTTATCTACATTACATATATCGTTTTTTTAAATTTGCTATATTTGGAAGGTATTAATTAATATAAATCAAATTAAATTGATACATTAGAAATGTTTAATCAAAAATAAATTTATATAAAATTAGAAAAGGTTCATGACTTTTCTTTTCCTGTAGAAAGTGAAGCTTCAATCCAATTTAAATATTCTTTATGTCCATTAGTTATCTATTAAGCAAAAATATTTGTTAAAGTATAAAATAAAAACTGCAGGAAAAATAATTTAGCCAAAAAAACTGGGAAAGAAAAAACAGTGTCAGTAAAATTTAAGGGAATAAAGATATAGTAATTTCATACATATTTATTATTTGCCTTTATCTAGGAGTTTCTTCATTTTGGGATGATGAAGATATTATGACATGTTATTATATTACCCTGCCATTAAAAAGAAATATCAAAAAACGTAGAATCATTAGATTTAAAAATTAACATATTTTTTAAGGTGAATATTTATTAATTTTGAAAAATGCTTACCTGTACCATCTGACCCAAAGTCTGGTCAGCTGCCTAAGCATAAAACTTTTTAGCCAAGTTAGGCACCTAAACCCAAAAATATTTAGGTTTTTAACCCTAATTTATCTTGAATCTGGGTCCAGGAATTTTAGTCAGTTTATGATTGATTTCCTACAAAAGTAAAAAAAATATTCAGCTATGTTTAACCTTTTTTGTTTAAATCCTAATGTATTATTGATCTGTTCTAACTTGATTACAATTTTAAAATTTTATACCGGTAAAACTTTTAAATAAAAATAGCTATTCAAACCTTTTTTTACTGCCATCTTTATAAAATAAACTTATTATTCACTTGATTGGTATGTCTGGACCAAGTCTCAATTTAAAAAAAATTGGAAATTGAGACTCACACCAAAGTTTATTTCAAAAAATTATACAAACCTAGACCTGTACCAACTCTGTATAATTATCAAATATCCTATATCAAGTTTAAGAATCTTTTCAAGTTTTATAACAAAACTAGTTCCTACATTTTTATACTTTTTTGAAGATTATTTATCATTAACAATGTTAAATCTATAATAAAAGTTTAAAAGCTGTTAAAAAATTGAAAGAGTAAAATCATTTTAAAATCTTAGTAGAAAAAAGAGCAGGCAATGCATTTACAGTTGAAATGTTTTTCAGGTCAGTTATGTCAACAGGTAGTACCATAAACTAGCATGATGAGAATGGTCCTTTTTTAGAAATTTTTGGCCTAGCCTTGATATCTGTTTCAGATTCTTTTTGGCTTGGCCTGAAATTTTTAAAAATTTGTTATTTTGAAATTCTGGCTGTATTTTGCAAATATTTTCATAGGAAAATTAAATATGAGTAAATGAATATTAAATGCTCTATCATATGGTTTTCCAACACTCCAACTAGAGGTCAGCAATGCTCGGTCTAGTACCCAGACCAGTCGATGTTCCAGGTAATGTCTGAATTTGGAATTCAAATTCCCATAAAGGGGGGAGGGGTGTAGAATAAAGTCGCTGTCTGGCACCCAAATAACATATTACAAATATTTAATTATTCAAAACTAATTATTCATAAATATTAAAGGGTTAAGATATCAAGTTCAAATACATGTTTAGAGATTCAGTTCAGATGAAATTTTTTTATAATAGTTCAGGTTCAGTTTAAGCTCTGAAAATAAAGTTAAGTTTGGATTCCGTGCAATATTAATACATGTATTGTCTATTATACACATTACCAAACATATATATCTCTAAATATAAAAAAAGAATACTGGTAAGGATATAATTTCTGGGGTGTCATATGGATGCATATTTCTGTAAATTTTAAAAATTAACTCCTAATAATGCTAACCAATATTACTTGATGCACTCTGACATTTCATTAAAAAGAGAATTTTTAGATTTGATTATCTATAAAAAATTATCAAAAATTTTTTTAATTAGTGTACCATAAAGTATTCTTCATCTTCTTGTATTATACCCTTCCATTTATAGCTATGTGCTTATAATAAATTTTAATAACATTTATATTTACATTGATTTAATTTTGGGAATGATATTAACACAGGCAGCCAAATTTTCTTTGACTAATTTTCTAAATATTAATAAATATAAATACAGGTATTAGTCTACTGTGATATATCATGAGCAAGATCATAATTTGGCGTTGTAACATAAGTTACAGAATATGTTTCGATATTTGTCATATTCCAAAATGGTTTAATAAATAGATATCTAAGATCATTAAATAATATAATATAGCGGTAGCCTTTTATAAAATATTTATTTTTAAGATTTATCAAAAAATTGCGGTGAAAAAAAAACGACATAAGTTTACATCCATAAATTTGCATAAAGAAAAAGAGTATGATTGTTACTAGTGAAATGAGTGAAGTAACTAGAGGTTAGGGTCCACTAGATCGTATGAACATTTGTGAAAAAACGTCAAATGACCTAAAATGGCCACAAATATATTTGAAGCGATTATAAAATTGTATAATTTTGAAACGTTGTTACAGATTTGGCAAATAAATTAAAAAATGCTTTTTATTTTAAATTTAAATGGCTAAATGGTAATTAATATTTATATTAATACAAGAACAGTATATATTAAAAAATAAATAGCAGATAATTTACAATATTTTAGCAAACTCTTAATGCTCTAGATCCATTAATATATAATAGACAGCACAATTGTATTATAAATATATCTTTGATATAACATCATTAAAATTTATATGAAATATCTCATAATAAAATTTTTAATTAATATATAAAAATGCAATCTCTTTTTTTTGCATGATAATGTATAAATTGAATTAAAATTTTGTTAGAATAGATAATATTATTGTTGTATTTTGATTTAATCAAACTATATTGAACCATTTGATTATTAGAATTTGAATAATAGCTTTGTTTATAAGCACTCTTTATTTTGCCTAGTTTTCTAAAAAAATTAATTATTATATGCAAATTAAATATTATATACTTTACAATTTTCTTATTGATAATTGTTGCGATTTAGCTTTAATCTCTTGAATTTTCATAATTATTTTGGGAACAAACTACTTTGGGAACGAACTATTGCAAATTGGCTTTTTTTTGGGAACGAACTATTGCAATACGACAAAAAACCTATTTCCTAAATTTTCATACGAATTAAAGGGACGATACCGTAACTAGATTATGATGGCCAACTCAATATTATCTTATCTTGCACGTTGGTCACAGACCTGCATGAGCGAACGTGAATTATATCGGTTGACCACTAAATAGCATTGCTCAAAATAGCATAAATTTATGTTTTAAAACGTCTTTAAAATAACATATTCAAAAAATGGCCGCCATATCTGAAGCGATAAAAAATTAAAAGTGCAAGTAATATATTAGTTTTTTTAAAGTTTTGTATACTGGTTTAAATTTTAGAAATTTTCTTAGGCTTAAATTTTGATATTTAAAATGATCATAATATAATTTATAAAGATGTATTAATTAAATATAGTTAGAGTTTTCACTAAGAAGTTTTGAATACTGATTTGATATTGAACTTAATGATCATAATATAATTTATAAAGATGTATTAATTAAATATAGTTAGAGTTTTCACTAAGAAGTTTTGAATACTGACTTTGACTAAGAAGTTTTGTATACTGGTTTAAATTTTAGAAATTTTCTTAGAGGCTTAATTTTGATATTGAACTTAATTCATAATATAATTTATAAAGATGTATTAATTAAATATAGTTAGAGTTTTCACTCAAAAGTTTTGAATACTGACTTTGACTAAGAAGTTTTGTATACTGGTTTAAATTTTAGAAATTTTCTTAGAGGCTTAAATTTTGATATTGAACTTAATGATCATAATATAATTTATAAAGATGTATTAATTAAATATAGTTAGAGTTTTCACTCAAAAGTTTTGAATACTGACTTTGACTAAGAAGTTTTGTATACTGGTTTAAATTTTAGAAATTTTCTTAGAGGCTTAAATTTTGATATTGAACTTAATGATCATTATATAATTTATAAAGATGTATTAATTAAATATAGTTAGAGTTTTCACTCAAAAGTTTTGAATACTGACTTTGACTAAGAAGTTTTGTATACTGGTTTAAATTTTAGAAATTTTCTTACAGGCTTAAATTTTGATATTGAACATAATGATCATAATATAATTTATAACGATGTATTAATTAAATATAGTTAGAGTTTTCACTCAAAAGTTTTGAATAATGACTTTGACTAAGAAGTTTTGTATACTGGTTTAAATTTTAGAAATTTTCTTAGAGACTTAAATTTTGATATTGAACTTAATGATCATAATATAATTTATAAAGATGTATTAATTAAATATAGTTAGAGTTTTCACTAAGAAGTTTTGGATACTGATTTAAATTTTAGAAATTTTCTTAAAGGCTTAAATTTAAAAAAGAGTGATTTAGTTGATTATTGATATTGAACTTGACAACACAAATCACACCATTAAATTGGATTAATTTTATTTTCAATTAATAAATGATTATATTTAATTAATTAAGATTGTAAAATAACTTAATAATATTAAATCAATTAAGCTTAAACTATCAATACTATATTTGACATTATGAGTGATCTTGATATTCCATTTTTACAATTGTTAACAGTAACAATATAATTTATATGTATTACTCTAATAATTATAATAGCACTGATTTAATATAGATTTATATATTCTTAATAAATTTTTAAAAATAATTCAAATATTTATAGATGATAGCCACTATTGCCAATAATTTGGAATGTTACCTTAAGATTCAAAATATTAAATTTGAAGTAATATTGTTTTATATATTTTTTTACTTTTAAGAAAACTCAAAAAGGAAATCATTTAGTAATTTATTTAGGGTACGAGTACCTCATAAAAAGTGCCAACAAAAAATTTATACACTTAAGTTGTCGTGATAATTGTTCTGGTAGAGCTAAGCTCTCATTAAAGGACATAATAATCACGATAGAACACACAGCGAAGTGTAAATGTAATAAAATAAATATTTAAGATATTTAAACATCTTTATTTTAAATAAGATAACACCCATCTTAGTCTTCCATCAACACAATCACAAGATACTGTGATTTTGCCTGATATCTTAAGTAAATAAAAATTTTAAAAATTCTTAATTTGACAATTTTCTTTACAATCTAGTTTCATCCAATGGTATTCCACATTTGGAACCACAAGTTTCTCCCATAGTGCCTGATATCTCAAGTAACTAAAAATTTTAAAAATTCTTAATTTGACAATTTTCTTTATAATCTAGTTTCATCCAATGGTATTCCACATTTGGAACCACAAGTTTCTACATAGTGCCTGACACAAATCTAGATTCCCCTCTTGACATAGCACAAGCCTTATTAGACTTAAATTCAAATATTTATGGTAAAAATAATTATAATAAATTGCATTAATATTGACATTATAAAATATCGTTGTAGAGTAGCTGATTGTCATGCTAAATGCATATTTGATGGTGCTTATATTGCTTCGGGTATACATGATCATCCTTTTGAAATAGGGACATTCGAGATGCTTAAAACTAAAGAAGCACGCGAAAACATTGTAGCTTAGAATCTCTTTGAGACACGCTTAAACATTTATCAACAAACTATGGAGAGATGTTTGGAGGATCCAGAAATAGAAAACTATTCTGAGGCGATACCATCATTTATATCTTTGAGGAGTCACATAGACAGACTCCTTGTGAAATATCGGCCCCCTATGCCTCATTCGATTTTGGATATTGAGTTATCAGCAGAATATGCTATGACAACTCGCAATGAACGTTTTCTAATCCACTGAACAGGTAACTTATACGTTTTTGGTACTGATTTGTTGCGTTTGACCGAGGGTTCTAACATGATCTACATGGATGAAATTTTCATGTAGCTCCTACCATATTTTATCAACTTTATACCTTGCATGTTATGTATGAAGGTGTTATGATACCTATCATTTACGCTCTCCTTCCGGATAAGACAAAAGAAACATATATCCGGCTTTTTCAAATTATTACTAATTTTTGCGCCGAACGCCAGATAACCTTTAATCCTCGATTTGGCCAAACAGACTTTGAGGCAGCTGCTATATCAGCTCTCAAGTTTGTATTTCCTAGCATGATTATAAAGGGTTAAATTTATGATTTATATTCTAATATAATTTTGTATAGGATGTTTTTCCCATTATTCGCAAGCGTTATGGCGAAGATGTCAATCTTTAGGGTTGGTAAGCTTGTATCTGAACCACTCCAATGTTCACAAAGTTGTTAGGCGCATGACAACTTTGCCTTTTTGTAAGGAGGAAAATATATCTAGGGTAAGGCAAAATTGTTATATTATGGCGTCTGAAAATCCCATGCTTTTGGATTTTATGGAGTATATGGATACGACATGGCTAGGACTTAATGCCATATTTCCTCATGGCATATGGACAAGGTATTTAAAATATAATTAATTAATTTTTAAAATTTTCATATAATTTAGATATAAAGTCGATGGTCCCCGCACCAACAATCATCTAGAGGGGTTTCATCATGCCTTAAAGAGAAAAACGGCACACGCTCACCCAAATGTTTATATTCTTATAAAAACTTTAATAGGTCATCAACATTCTAACGACCTCAAAATTATCCAGATCAATAATGGATCTAGAGTGCGGCGAAGAAATAGAAAATATGAAAGAATCGATGAGCATATTACAAATTTAACACAAATATATGAAAGAACTTCTGATATTACAGAATTTTTAGATAAAATATCTTTTTTAGTAAATTTTAAATATTAAAACTATCAATAAATATCCGTTTTTAATTTTATTATAGTTTTATTTTATAATAATAAATTTGTAAAGGTTGATTTTTTTTATATACATGCACAAATAAAATATATTATCAAAAAATAAAAGATTTATTAGTGAATTTTTTTAAAAATGTTTTTGCTAGGTTTAAGACAATAAGTTACGAAGATAACAATAACATTTAGAAATTTATTAAAGAAGTTAAATAATTTCACACTCGATATTTTAACATTTGCCATTATAATTTACTTGTATAAAAGCAACATTCAACTAATCCTGGTACATATAATGCTCTATTGGTAATATTTTTATTTATTGAAATATATTTTAACAAAATAAATAAAAACTAAATAATATATTTAACAGACTTAATCAAATATCATGAATATATGTTTTATTAACTAGATGCCCTTAACCATATTTTGTATATTAATTATTATTTTTTTATATTAACATTATTTAAATCAGATTAATCTAAGGTATAATGATATCTATTTGGTCACTCTAAATAATATTAATTTTTAAATAATTTAATAGGGTTGGACCTTCAGTTAATTTAATATGGAATTATAAACAAAACATCTTAAAAAATTAGTCCACTGAATGATTGAGATTAGGGCTTTTAGATTTATTATCAACCCCATTAGAGAGAAATCTAATGATGAAGATTGTATCAAAACAAGGATCTATTGAACCATTGAAAGAAAGTTTTTATCATAAAATTTTAAATAGGCACTATCACTTTTTTAAAAGTATTAGTAAAATCGGATGATAGTAATTTTATAAATTTTAATTAACGTAAATTTATTTTACTTCTTTTTCCGGTATTAATTTTAATTTTTCTTTTACTTTTCTCTTTGCAATTTTTTTTAAAACACAAAATATTTTGTAGCAAGGGGAAAAAATGAATGAAAACAACTATATTATTTATATTTTATTTTTTCTTCACTCTATATATATTTCTACAAACAATAAAATAATAATCAAATTTTTATTGCGAAAAAAACTAACAAAATATTATTGATACAAATAGTTATCGCTCTACATAAAAAACAATTAAACAAGAAAAAAATAGATAAAAGTAATATCGCTCTAAAAAAAAAATAATTAACAAAAAAATAGATAAAAATAGTTATCGCTCTACAAACAAAAATATAAACTATATCATGAGTAAGAATATTTTTCTTTTTTAAAAGCTATAATTAATGTTCTATAAATTTATTAAGATTATCAGAGTTTTATAAAAAGTATCTGTATCTCTATACTACTTCAGAGGTATCTGTATCTGTTTATAGATAAATTTTGATATACTTTTATTTAACGTTTTATTTATCTAAAAAATAAAAATAAGTGTTAATTTTACCTCATATGTATGAGCATATAATTTAAATAAATATATATTATAAAAATATTAAGACTAATATAATAAAAAAATATATATAATATTAAAAGTTATTTATAAAAAAATATATATTATTTTTTTCCCATTTATATCTATAGATATCAGTTTAAGATTGTGAAGGATATTTTTATCATGCAAGGGAATTTATAAATCTTCGCTTAGCCATGACACCTAATAATTATAAACAATACCATTGGTGCACCAAATTATTTTAAGCAATTAATTTAGAATTTTGTAAAATAATTTTATAATATTCCGCTAACTTTTAATAAATAAATTAAAATTATTTTTAAATTTTAAATCTATTTTTTATTTCGATTGAAAAAAAATTATTAAAAAAATTGAAATCTAGCAATAACTATTATAATTAAGCACATTTTACTCAAAAACAAAGATGAATTCTACTTAATTTTATATTTTAATTTAATTTTATTATGGTTTTACTAATAAATAAAAATTAAAAATAATTTTCGATTGCTTCCCTAGTAGTAAACTTGATATACACCTAAATTATAATAACATCATATAAGTGGCGTAGCTAGGAATTTTCCTTAGGGGGGGTCCATACATATAGCTGGGGGGCTTCGCCTCCAAGATCCCCTTTAACGGGCTTTCGGCCCTTTTGCCAAGGCCTTCGGCCGGGTTTATCTTACAAATAAATATCTTCGTTAATATATAATAAATATATTTTTTAAATACATCAATAATATGTTATTATAATTTAGTAGATTATTCTCAAATACTTTATAATAATACTATCCAGAATAATTTCAATAGTAATATAATATCCTTCCACAAACATCAAAACCAGAAAAATATAATTGATATAAAATCACTTTTAAGTGTTTTGAACGTATAATCTAAAAATAATCTCCAAACCCGAAAACCACCCCCGTAGCTACGCCACTGCATTATATATGTAATATGTAGGTAAATTATATATGGTATATTTATTTATTATACATGTAATATACATATAAATAATATTTAAATACATTTACTTAACATATATATATTTAATTTTACTGTATATCGATATTATTTAAGATAATATATACCTAAATTATAATAAGATCATATTTATAATATGTAGGTAAATTATATATGGTATATGAATTTATTATACTTGTAATATACATATAAATAATATTTAAATATATTTAATATTTTAAAATATTTATTTAACATATATATATATATATTTAATTTCACTTATATCGGTATTATTTAACTAACATATTGATTATATATTTTAATAACATCATATTTATAATATGTAGGTAAATTATATATGGTATATTTATTAATTATATATGTGTGTAATATTTAAGTATATATTTAATATTTTATTATATTTATTTAATATAATATATATGTAATATTTATTACACATGTATATATTTTTTATCTATTAATCTTTCTAAACAAATATTTATAATATATGTTATTTATTATTTAAATTTTCTAGTGGTAACATAAAGTGAGTATGTTTATGCTATTTTGATTAATGCGATTTAGACCTGAATCCAATTATATGAAGGCCTATCCTTCATATAATTAAGCCGATTTTTTTCTCAGGATACCGACAAACCTATTACCCAGAAAATAATTTATGAGTGGAACTAAACCCTTTACCAATAGAGTAGCATATTTAAAATTAGCAGGAAATAGAAATATAAATAAGTTATAATGAGAAGTAGAATAAAATAAAAAGTCATTTTAAAAGAAAATCTTCCAAATACAATGGTCTAAAAATATTAAATTAAGTTAAGTATTTCTAAGGGACATTAAAGGTGCCATTATCCATTTACTAAATAACCAAATACAACTCCATATCTTTAATAATTAACTTATGTCCTATAAAATATGGTTTAATTTAACCACCAATAATAAAAAACAATTTAATTACTTTAAAATAGAGGCTTGAACTCTAAGATATTAGTTCCAATAATGATATATATCTCTTGGAAAACTCCTTTACAAGAAATATAAATCTTCAGCAAGTATTCGTCATATGTTCATATATAAGTCCTAAAATATGTTTGAAGACTTTCCAGTCAATCGAAGCTCTCTTTAGGAAATCCCAAGATAAATCTAATTCAGTCAAGAATCTTAGAATTCTCCCAAACCAACTTCTTTTATGGGATAAAAAAGGGTTAAGAGCAGTGTCTTCAGGGGATTGATCTATAAGTGCCTGATGGATTAAATTATTCAAGAGGTGTCTCAAAATATGGCCCACCAACTCAATTTTCTTATATTCTATTGTTTTATGAATAGGAAGGATATCACAACTCGCCCATAACATATAATTAGTAGTGTTTCGCCGATAAAAGGTCCTAGTTAAATATCTTAAACATTTGTTTATAAAAACTTATATCTTGTTATTATCTGATATATTATCGTTCCAGGTTTTCATACCATAGTATAAGGAAGCTAATATTAAGACTTTCAAGAGTCTTATCTTTAAAGGAATAGATATTTGCCTAGATGACCAAATCTTCATCAAGGACCTGCACTTTACCCTAGTTTTATTCAATTTAGAGTATTGATCTTTCTTTGCACCACCTTTCTTATCCAATAGGACCCCTAAATATTTTAGAATATCGGCTTCTGTAATCGTATTACCATCAATATTTAGGGTCGCCTGCGAGGAAATATAAAACGATGTCATCATTTTTGTCTTTTCTTTATTTAATGTCAGACCAAAGTGTCCCGCCTCTACAATGATACAGTTAATAACTGATTGGATGTTTGATACCGATTTACCTACAAGGTTTAAATCATCTGCGAAAGCGATAATATTTAAATCTCCTAAGGACCACTGAGCCGAATGTAAATTTCTAATTTTTAAAATAATATGATTTGTAATAAAGGTAAATAGGAGAGGCGACAGAACACAACCTTGTTTCAAACCCTTCATTATCGGGATTTTAGGAGATTTGTGGCCAGCATGAATAATATGCATTGAATAATCTTTATAAATTAGTTCCAACAAACTTACAAAAACAATCGGGGTACCTACCTCCTTTAATGTCCTCCAAAGTTTTGAGAGTATTATCGAATCAAAAGCTTTTTTAAAATCCAAAGCCACAATAATTAACTGACTCTTCCGAATTAATGCTCTCTCTAGTTGAATTTTTACTGGTAGAATCGCCTCTAAAGTGTTTCTGCCTTTCCTAAACGAGACGAAAGAATCTATAAAAAGTGGTTCAAGTAGCGGTCTTAGCCTATTTAATATAATATTTGCAAATATTTTATATACCACCGAATTTAGTGATATTCCTCTCCAATCTTCAAGAAATTTGGGATCTTTCATTTTAGGGAAATTAATTAAAGTGGCAGTAATTCAATCATTCGGACACATCCGTTCAAACCAAACTCTGGATATAATAGGGAGAAGAATCTCTGCACGTAAACTAGAGTCAGTCTTCAGGTATTCACTATATAATAAATCTTGACCACAAGCTTTATGATTCTTCAGTCTCTTAATTATTCCAACTAGTTCAGCTTTAGTTGGGTGGAAAATCCTGGCATCATTTGAGGGAGATTGTAATGTAAATTAACTTTGTTGGTTTTGTGGAACCTAACTATTCAAGGTATCGTTAATGGTTAATCTTTGTTGAATATTACTTAAAATAACTTGTGGGGGCCAAATTTTCGAAGTAAAGGG